ATATAAATATAAAAATACAACATTTAAACGACATAAACATGAGCCGGTCGATAAGAGGTCACGCAATGCAATGACCGTGTCAGGCGCCTTGTTATTTATTATTTACGTACAGCGGGCATGATTTACATGACAATTGATAAGTTGGCACACACAGGGCTACTCAGAATAGGCTTGTTAAAGCTAAGAAGTAAGAACTGGCTATTCTCGTTGAAATTTATTTGCGTACGTTCTATTTTTGTTATCTTTTATGAATGAAAGCGCCCACAAATCTAGACGCTATTACAATAAAATTTGACAAAATTAACAAAATACTTGAAAAAGGAAAATATATTTGGTTTTTTATTAGCCCTATACATTTAAAATTATTTCATATAATATATATAAATAAATAATAATTGTATGTTAATATAATATAGCTTTTTTTAAGTGTAACTAAATTGAACCGTCAACGGTAATTACCGTTATAAATGAAACTCACTTTTTATCGCTACTTGAACTAATCTCAATATTTACAGTTTTGTTATAAATCAATCAAACCGTTGACGTCATACGTATATTAAAAAGAGTGAACATTTGTTACAAAATAACACCATCCAGACCAAAATTAAGCCTTGGGTCGAAATCAAAAAATCCAGTCCAAATCAAGTCAAAAGTCCAAGAAGCTAGGCTACTACGACTATCGGTTCCCGTCAAGGACTTCTTATAAAGCTGTAGTAGACCAGGCTCGTTAGTGACTGTTTTGTAATAAGTACCGCATACTCAGCAATCGAGCACAACGATGCCTTATACAGCGTCTCTCATCGAGAAACTGTTCTAAGAAGCTACTGAATCTAAAGAAACAAATAGTCTAACGAAATGTACTTAACACTATTTGTATTAATGTAGAAAATTGTTAACCGACTTCCAAAAACAAGGAGGTTCTCAATTCGTCGGAATCTTTTTTTTATGTATGTTCACCGATTACTCGAAGACGCCTGAACCGATTTGGAAAATGTTTGTTTTGTTTGAAAGAGTATACTTCCCAGTTGGTCCCATATAAATTTTGCCCTTTAACCCTAGCAATTATTTTTTGATTTGAAAATTGAGAGTACAAATTGAATATATTTATTATCTTTATTATACTGCCCCGTATTATATTAAAAATGTGAAATTTTTAGAAAAACTACAGCGTGAGGAAGTAACATAATACATCCGTACGACCTATAACGTGTCAACATATTTGAATGAAATTCGGAATGGATTACATAGTCAACATCCACAAAAAATAATAAATAGGAAAATGATGTCGACTTCATATACTACTACTTACTACTGCTTTCCAAATATTTTTAACGAATATCGAAAATAATCTAATTTTAGTACTGGCACAACAACTATATTCTATGAAATATTTAAAACAGCCTATTTCGACTGCAGTTTTCTTTTCTTGTACAGTATGTTCGTGATGCAAAGTTTAAGATCATCAAGCTTTGTTCTGCAAAATCTACAAAATGTATGTATCCTGTAACATTTATGAAGCATGGCGGGATGCGTGTTAGTTTTAATTTGATTGCAAATAATAAGGATATAGCAAATTCTACCTATATTGGAATCGAACGCGGTTGAATAATTTAAACGATACTTGTCCATTTTCAGAATATTTATGCTTTAAAAGAACTTTTTGCGATCAACGATTGATAAGTACTTTTTTTATATCATATATTTTGAGATGCTTGACAGGTTTTATTGATTTGTTTTTGTTCTAATAATACAAAGTAACAATATGCGCTAACAGAGGCTTTTAGGTACTATTTCTACCCTAATGCCCTTTATATACATCATTTAAATATTTTTCGTTTTCAATTTTTTGCAATTGTTTTTAAACCGAATATCCAATTGAGATTTATGGTGAAAATTTTATTTCAAATTCTCTTTCATTCATAAATTTTCGTTGATTATTAAACTTATGAGGGAACGTTGCGTACAACCTTTTAAAGGACACACTTATCTAGTGCGTTCGTACACCGCAGCCCTGTGGCCAGTCGGTTAACTTATGTTACATCAAGTTTATCTAGACCAGACCTTGTAGTCGCCAGGAACTGGTGGTTTACTTAATAACAAGTTTTAGCACACTTAAGCTAGCTTTTAGAACAACCTAATATTTTGTCTTCAGATCTTACTTACAATTTCGTTCTTATTATGTTTAATAATTGTAGTACCCAAAACACCGTTATATTTATTAACGCTAATAATGTATAGAAAAATCCATATAAATTAATAGAATTTATAAAATACTAGCGATTTACTCTCGCTTCGCTCGGGTGTGTCCCTAGGTATGTACGCGGGTTTTGTTCGCAATTTCATGGGTTTTCATTTTTTGCGCGGAACCCTAGACCTTTTTTCTTAAATAAAATTACCTAGCCTAAATTACTCCTTATAATATGACCTATCTGCCAGTGAAAGTCCCGTCAATATCGGTCCAATCAAAGATAAGCCGAAAAAAACGGACAATTTTTTTTATAATTGTTTTTTTAAATTATAAGTAGGTACCGTATATACTTTAATATGTATTGACTTTTTAGTAAAAAGCTATATTTTGACATTACAAACAGACACTTCAATTTTATTCATCTGTATAGATTGTACTCCAAACATAATTAACAGTTATAATCAGTCTTCCAATCGAAATACCATCTCCAGATAAAACTGAAAAAATTATTGAGGACAACGCCCTGGTTATTTTACTGAAACGGATTGTCATACTGCGAAATATTTAATGAGATACAGAACACATCGAGCCGAGCAGTAAAGCGGACAGACAGTGCGGGAGAGCGGAGGCTGAGGCGCTGAGCCCGATCAATAAGTAGCGTCCGCCGCGCCGCCGCCGCGCGTCGACGAAAGCGAACGCTCCGACCTCGCTGCCCTTCACCGGAGTCGAGGAACCCCTTGCAGGGCGCCCCGAATACCTTACCCTCTCTCCTCACCCCTACCCACCACAAAATACCAACCCTTGCGAAACCCTTCACGTCACACTCCAAACGATCTTCCTGACCCGATTAGATATTCTATAAACACCACTATCATTGTCATCCAACTTCCATTTTCAGCTTCGGCGTATCGTTAGTCATCATTAACGTGATTCACTATACAAAGAATCTGGAAGAAGTTTCTGATTCATAGCAACGGTTAGGGAATTGATCATAAGATATACACACATTTTTCTTAACAAGTACCTATATCTACAGCGTCACTTCTTTCACCACTGGCTGCAAAACTGCTTTATTTATAACGAAATTTTTTTCTCGCTCCCAAAGTTAAAACTCGTTTACAACGACACGATTAAAACGGCTCTCTTTATTATTCAAGAAACGTAACTTACTACTTCGATCGTACGTCCGTTTTATACTTCTCATACCAATAAATCTTACAAAACAATACAACTTGTCATTTTGCTTTTAGTGATAACTACTTCATCAAAACGGGTTTAGCTTTATAAAAAGAGATATTCACTCATATCTAATACACGTTATCAGTATAAAGCCGACTTTAAGTTAGCAACAATATTATCGTTTCTATTATTCTTATCATTTAATGGTAAATTTCATGGTGTGCACAGTGTATGAAGTATCGACAGTCGAAACAATCCTTGCGGGGAGTCTAGCCAATGAACTTGAATCAGACGGGCCTCCACTGTGCACGCTATTAATAGACGTACAGACGCGATCTGAGGAATATGGACATGTTGCTTTGACGATAAAATAATATCTATAATTTGCTATTTATTTAATTGATTTATTGTTAGTTGTGACGCATTGAATTTATATTTTTCTTCAAGTCAAATTCCACAATTAAAGAGAACAATGTCAATATGAGTATTCCTTAAAGTGTAATGAAATTTCGATATAAGTTCATTTATTAACTAATTTGGAAAGGGACAAGTTATTACTCTTGAGCGGAGTCAGATGTCGGGGACGGCGTCATGAGGGTTATTTTTGGACACAGTCGAGGCATTTGGGACGCGCGCTGGAAAATATCTACTAACCGGTCTATTCTCGGACGCCCTACTAACGGCGTGCCTCTTACTTCATCGACGAAATTTAAGATTAGTAATTCTTAAGTATAGAAAATTTATGAAATGTAAAGTGTATTGTAATCAAAGTCAATACTGGACGCTGGACATATTAAAGTTCAATGATGTAAATAAAGATAATTATATTAGATAAAACTTAAATCGCGATGTCTGTCAACTCATTATTTATATTGTCTAGAAGCATATCAGACTATAAACAAACGCGAACTTAGATATCAATGGCCGACCGTCATCTCTCAATGATTGATCGCGTCATATACTATCTTATAGCGTTTAATTTAATAGGTAAACTTTAACGTGACATCACCTTTAAAATTGATCTCATGTTTCATAATGTGATGATTTTATGGAAAGGTTGGTTGGAAGCCAAATTCTATTACGAAACGATTTAAAATTTCGAGTAAATCGTTTTCTAACATTGCAATTGTGCATAGGAATGGACAAAGTGTAATATTTGAAATCGAACAACAAGTAAGGTAAAGCCTGCGCTTTCCGGTCGCGATGTTTCGTTGCCGCAGTATCGACCCGGCGAGACTAACGTGCCCGTACACTTGACATTCGCACTCCCTCGCCCTCAAATAAGGGTTCACGACCCTTGCATTACTGCAGCCATACAAATGCCAATTTATAGCCGAGTAATAATATATTTACATTGCAAATTCACTTAAAGTCCCATCTCGCCAAGCAAATTCATGAAGATTAAGATTTCTTATATAAATATAAACGGAAAATTTTCAAAGTAACCAACAAGGGAACACAAATGCCTTCATATAAAATATTCGAAGTGCGACCTACTCATCAATTTCTTGATTTTTAAACAATATTGTTTAAGAATCAAGTTTAAAATCAACACATACAATATTGTTAATTTATAAGTACTTAATTTACGTAATAATTTAACTGTTTACTTATCGATTATATTTGTCAACAGGCGAGGAGCATCCAGGCCAGAAACAAAGAAAAGGTTTCTTCAGAAGTCTTTGGAAGAAATCTCGCCACTACTCTCTAGAGCATCCGTGACCACAAGACAGGTCTTACGATTTAACATTGAAATCTCTTCCCTAAAAAGATGAAGAAGTGTGGCGACGACAAACGATGTGTTCATCCCACGAATGAACAAATATTGATATCTTGAATATATAAAAAAAAAACGCTGAAAAATTAGCGTGTTAGGAATAATAGTTGTTTTTAACGTGCGTGAATGTGGCTTTGAAAATTAAAACTCGTATCCTAATTTTGATGGCTTGATCAAGTGACATGTTTAATTAATTGAATTGTATAGCAAGTGTTTAACCTGTGGTTATTACAATCCATTATTTATTTAAGCAATGGAAATCTATTTTAGACTTACACAACAATTTTTTTTTAAATAGGCATGTAGAAATGTAGATACCACGTAGTAAGTTATGTACATCTGAGTTTTCAATCATTTCGTTTAAATTATTGTTAACCAAGTTTAGTACTGATAAGGATTATTTCTTCTACTCTGTATTGATTAAATTAATAATAATAATAGATACGAACACAGAAATATGTAAGTTTTCAATTACTATTTTCTTTAGAATTTAGATATGTAAAATGATCTTGTGTGGTATAATTAAAGAACCAAAATCACTTATAGACTACCACTTTTAACATTTTATACCAATCCTTGTATTCGAGTGTACTTAATTCTTATTATTGTAGATTTGTCAAAAGGGAATAAATTATGTTCATTAGCAATGTATGGTTTTTATTCTGAATACCCTCAACTAAATCTTAAACCCTTAATAATTCATTAAGTAAAAATTAATCTTAGGAACTTCAAAAAAGGTAGTCTATACAAAACGGAATTTGCAATGTAAGAAAATATATCATAAATAAACAGAAGAAAAAGAAGAGCACGGAGTTAAAGAAAACCAAGTGATTATAATACAAATCATTTATTATTAGATAGACACAGTTCCCATCGCTTATCAGAAACAATGTACAAAGCTATAGTAGTAATATCAAATATAAACAATATGCACCCTTCGATTACTGCAAGCCTTGTTTGAGGATACAGGATTATAATTGAGCGCTTCTAGTTTCTGCTGCTAAGAGATAGAATAGAACAGAATGCAAAATGTTTATTCACTACACAAGATTATAAAACGCGGCGTAATAAAAAGGGAAGCATAGCGAAATAATGGCGATCGCGGGGGTTCCTGCACACTGTCGTATTGTAATAGATTCTCACACGATGGTTCCAGTGGGACTAGAGATTTTCAATTAAAATCGTTACATGTTTACTTGGGTTTACAGTGTCTTTCAATTTGTAACAAACAAGCCCTTACACAAATGCCTATTTGTAAATTACATATATAATTGTTGTATATTGTTACAGTAATTTCATTACGTGGTTATTATATTCCTTGTCAAGCGTCTGTGTGCGATTTCATTACGATTTTACAATAATTTAAAAATCCACAGCGAACATTCTCGTAAACACAGTAACGGCAAGTCTCACGTGAAACAAACGTAAGACTCGTGAAGTTGTCAGACAGCTTGAAAAGAAATCTAAAAAAAATGTCTATACATCATGCTTCGAGACCTTCGCGAAGCTCTCTGTTCAGCTTCACTGTACAGGTCGATAAAAGCATTTTTTTTTAAATACAAATTAAAACCAAACTACAGAAACAATCACTCTGTGGAAAAGGTGAGCGTATAAAAAAGAGTCCAAAATCCGCAAAGTAATTACATCTGCATGTGGTCGCCAAACGCATCAGACACTGATGGCGCCATAATTTATCAAATATCAAAACAAATGACGGTCCTTATCACTTTTATAGAATATACAAAATGCAGTTACTTATTTCCCTGTGGAAAAAATATTATCTTATAGTATTCTTAGATCACGGCGCGCTTCGATCTGTAAAAAAAGAAAACAATGCTAATTTTTCTTAAAAAAAAAACCTATTAAAAGAATAAAGAGAACTGTTAAACTAAACCTAAGTAGGAGTACTCAACTCACCTCTAATAACCACAGGTAATTAAATAATCTCCTAACTTCTCCACTACAGATGCAGCTTGCTGGGGTTGGATCGGTTCTTCGTAGAGAGAAATTACAACAGCTGCAACAAAATTATTCATATTGTACTGTAATGTAGGGAGAACTCAATTTTCCACACTTAACTCTAAATTGGTCCCTTGTTCGTCTCTATATTTATATCTATATTCGTGACTCTTCATATTGTTGACTTTCTCCAATTTCCTATATGTACCGTAATCTATACATATAATAAATTTCTAAGTCGAATCTGTACATTAAATATTTTTTGGGAAATCTAATTGAAATAGACATTATTATCGATATAGAGTCCGAATCTATAGTTTTTATAATTTTTGTTTGTCTGTCTGTTACCGCATCACGAGAAAACCACTGGGCAGATTTTGATGAAATTTGGTATGATGATAGCTGGTTATCCGGGTCAACATATAGGATACTTTTTACCGCGGGAAAATATCTCATTTCTGAGAAAAAATACAAAAACTGCATTGTTCTTGTACACTAATATGTAAAACCTAAGAATTTGGTTTTTGGTCATCTGAACGCGGGCGGAGCCGCGGGCAATGCTAGTAAATAATAATATAATAAATACACCTGACCACCACAATAAATGGGAAAGTTTGTGTTTGTAAAGGAGTAATCCTTTACATAGAAAATTAAAAGGCTAGACAAATTGCGATCAAACTTAGTTCATAGATGGATTAGGTCATAACCTGGAGAAAATACAAAAACTGCATTGTTCTTGTACACTAATATGTAAAACCTAAGAATTTGGTTTTTGGTCATCTGAACGCGGGCGGAGCCGCGGGCAATGCTAGTAAATAATAATATAATAAATACACCTGACCACCACAATAAATGGGAAAGTTTGTGTTTGTAAAGGAGTAATCCTTTACATAGAAAATTAAAAGGCTAGACAAATTGCGATCAAACTTAGTTCATAGATGGATTAGGTCATAACCTGGAGTAATACATAAGCTACTGTAAGGCACCTCACACACTAGCGAAGTGAGGGTAAGTCGTTAGTATAATATAAAAAAATGTAACATGTAAATATTTCTTGAAAATTTATGTTTGGGGGATGTTTGAAATGTAATAAAGTCAAATCAACAAACTAGAATTAATGTCTTTTTAATCGCGCTACAGTCGTAAACTGAGGGACGGATTTCTATAATTATTTTTATTGTACAAGCAATACTCTTATATTAAAAATATATCTTTGTTATACTTAATGGATGGAGGCAGATTCAAGATAGTAAAGTTTCCCGATCAATTCATCAATCGATGGTCGTTGTCTAAAAGGAAATTTACAGGCTGGCAATAGCTAGTGAATGGCATGATTCATATTGAATTTGGAAAGGCATTAACTTTCAAGACGTACGCCGAAAAATGTATTTAGTATAATTTAAATAATTTGGTTTCGGAACCTGAATATAATCGCGTGTTTAAATCAAATGTAGGACAATTAACGATCTAAGAGAGAACTTAACGGTCTATGCGCACTGTTGCGATTTCTCAGTTTAGACAGCGCACAAAGATTATAATAAAATACGGTTTTAGATGAAATTTTAATTATTTACATTAGTCATATGGTCCAAAGAGATTATGAGTTATAAGCTGTTACTATGAGGCGCTATCGAGATATAGGTCTCGGCCAGCCCGCTTGGCAAAGACGCAAGGGCAAAATCTTGTCAGAGCAGTGGCAACTGTACATTTATTTGTATGATTTTGTTATACTTTCAAACATGATATTGCTAACTTTGCATTACGCAATCAACAAGAACAAAGCCAAAATTATATCTAATTAATTTGGACAAACTTTCATATAAACATCAGTATTATATTCATAAAACAGCAGGTATTCGTTATTTCCATATCAATCAATCTTAGCGTGTAAACGTAGCTAAATAGCAATAATACACGTGATACGATATTGTATTACGCAGTTCGCATAATCGAGGCGGTATGTCGTAGCGTATACCTATATAGCGTACCTTGCTGTGTCTTCATGCAGTGCAAGCCGACCTTGCCGAGCTTTGCGCGTATGATGCGGTCTGTTCCACTGAGGTAGATGTACCGCGTACCCGCTATCGTCACGCCGCCGCTGGTAAGGATTGATTCATTTTCGAAACCGGCCACAATCTTCCCCACTTCATCTTTTGATATCTGTTGACAAGGGATTTATTCTTGACAAAATGTAAATACACGCCACTAACAAGTAATTAGCATGGCGAAATATAAAAATTCAAAATATTTTATTCAGCATTAAATTATTACAAATTTTTACGGAGAATGAAATGAGATATTTTCCCGCGGTAAAAAGTACCTTATATGTTGACCCGGATAACCAGCTATTACCATACCAAATTTCATCAAAATCCCTCCAGTGGTTTTTCTGTGATGCGGTAACAGCCAGACAGACAGAAATTCTAAAAACTATAGATTCGGCCTCTGTATCGATAATAATGTCTATTTCAATCAGATTTTCCAAAAAATATTTAATGTACAGATTCGGCTCAGTTAGAATTTTATTATATGTATAGATTAAACACACATTTTCATTCACTTCAGAATATTAACTTTAAATAACTTTGCACTCATTAAATTCTAACACTTAAAATATCATAAAGTACGAGAAGTTTAAATAGGTAAATGTAATGACTAATATCTACTGGTACTAATAATAATGTTTTGAATTATACACATAAAATTCACACCACAAGAAATCTCCAAGGCACATTATAATTGCATATTCTATAAATAAAAAACATGACTTGAAACAATTTACACTTAATTCTCTCAACATCAAATCATATTTTATCTCTTTTTTTTCAAATCCCACGGGATTCAATCGGGCCAATATGTCACACCATCAATCACATGAATATTGTGTCTTTGATTTCTACATCAATTTGTTTTAAAAATTACAGATGTTTGTCCAGGTTTAGCTAGAATAAGTTATAAGTAATTTAGATCGGAAATTAGTAACGGGGATGCTATGCCATTCCTTTCATATTTCCCATAAAATAGCACAAAGTACTATTACATAAATTTAATAGACATTTTTAAATTTTAATGTATTTTTATCAACAATACTAGCAGTTCATTATAGTTTCAAATTATTAATAGATGATAAAAAGTGCTTGAAATGATTTAAGTTGTGCAAAATCAACAGGAAAATTTTAGTTATTTTTTGATATAATGCTTTTCTCTGAAACTTATTGTAATCATAATGTTTCTTTTTTCAATTATAAAGTCTTCAAATAAAAATTGTTTGCAAAGTAAACTTGTTTATGACAAAAGTAAAAAAAGTTGTACTAAAAGTAATGTCTACCTGATAAGATGAGGTCATTAACCTCATGCAATTTAACAGGTGTGACATGTTACATATAAAATTAAAATTTATGATAAATTAAATTTCTTTCTCATGCCTGAACATTATATTTAAGCATTTTATAAAAGATTATATAAATCCCAAACTATTTTAAAGAAAATAATTGGTAATAATTTTAAAGGAAATTTAAAAGGAAAAAGGTATAAGAGGGTTAGTTTCCAGTTTTTGACGATTGGTTTATACATATCAATAGATAAATTAAAAATATCTTATCAAACTTAGTTACAGATAAGGATATGATAATATGAGATATGTTATGGACAATCTGGTGTTCATTTACTCTGGACTCTAGTTTATAACATTATAGCATGTAAATTGTATTATAACTAAAATATTTAAAAATAATTTTTGCAATCACAACATAAGAAAAAAGTTAGTTATTGGTATGAATCTACTTTGAATACTTATATTTTCTAAATATAATGCACTTTATTACATTTCAGAGAACAAATTAATCCTACTTTTTTATAAAAATACAATATTATTTTACTTTAGAGATTATACAGTTCTAAGGTTCGTTGGTAAATCGCATGGGATAAACTATTGCTTTGCTTATAAAAGATTAATTAAATTCCATTTTAATTTAAAACGGACTGTTATTATGTACCTATACGAAAACTGTAAAAAAAGTACTTTGATATGGTGACTCATACAATTCTAATTTGAAGTTATGGGACTTTACTTTTATTAGAACAATCACTCCGAATTAAATTAATTAATAGCTAATGGAAATATTAACTTACAGTAAAAAAATGAATATTTAAAGATAGGGTAGTTAGGTATTACAACTATATTAGGCGTCGCCGACGTGTGACTTTATCCCAATACAAAAGCTACCGGCCGGCAAATATTATTTGCAGTAATGAATAATTTAATAATGCACTTTATTATTGAAAAAGCAATACCAATTTACTTGTACTATGGTTTTGAATAGAGTAAGTCAAGTGAAATGCCATAATACGTAAAATATTGAGATTCTTATTTGAATCGGCTGCTAGCACATGTCGCCATCTTGTCAACTAGCCGGAATCGTCATCCATTCTTTATAATATAATAAAAAATAAAACATAAAAGCAAACGTAAATATACAGTATAATTCTGTAATACATTAAAAAATTATTATTATTACACTAACATAAGTGATAAAAGAACTTACATCGAATCCTTCTGATTTCGCCCAGACATTACCATCATGACCGGCAATCGCAGCCTTTGTAACACATCTGGATGCAATTAACTGTTTATCGACATAATCTTGCCAGCTCATTTTGATTGAGTTCTTTATTTATAAAATAAAACTAAACTTTCCTAAACCACAATCTAGACCCCGCAACGAGCAAACGCTCCACACGAACAAAAAGCACTGCCGTTTCAAAATGGCAGCGTACTCAAAGACACGGCAGGAAGTTCATTACTACCAACGTTAGAATATTATCTATGCGTTCGTTATTCATTTGAAAGCACTGTATACACAGTGATACCTAAAAAGTTAAGCATTTAAGACAATTTATAATCATAATATTTTTATCCTTTAAATAAGATAATCTGCTATAAATCAAATTACAATAAATTTATAAGCCTTCTGGCTTTTATCAGTAATTTAATTGTATGACTAACAAAAGTACTTGATAGTTGATACCTACCTTATAGAGGTGCTTGTCTATTAAAAAGTTGAATTATATACATACCTACTCGTACATATACACAAATTTTATCAAAATCCATCCAGTGGTTTTTCTGTGATGCAGTAACAGACACAAATTCTAAAAACTATAGATTCGGCCTCTGTATCGATAATGTCTATTTCAATAAGATTTTCCAAAAAATATTTAATGTACAGATTCGGCTTAGTTACAATTTTATTATATGTATAGATTAATTAATATTTATCTTTCGTTTATTCTCTCATGATCTATGATTTGATATTGTTTAATAAAGAATATTTATAAGTTATATAGAGTTTCAAACATCCATTCAAACTTGTAAACTGAAAATATAAAATATATTTCATGTTGAGATATTTTAGAATAATCTTTAGATTCCAGGGACAAATAACATACTTATATTCTCGAAGTAGTAAATTGTTTCGATCCCGAATATCAGAACCAACTTTTGAACTTATACTTCTTTTGGCATATTTGGAAAAAAATATAAGGGTATATTTTTTACGATGCACGCGCGCACCTACAGCCAAAAAGCAACATGATGAAATTATAACTGAAAGCGACATGATGAAGTTAGCTGCAATCCTTTTACAAACAGAGAGTTGAGACATTTGGGATGAAATCTTTAGCTATTTTTGTTCTGTTACGCCAAAGAAATATAATTTCTTACGTGGGTACATATGTACACACATACACGTTTTTTGAAGTGAAAACTTCTAATTTCTATAGGCAGATTTGGATAGGTAGTAAATTCATGTAAGTCGTCATCGACATGGTCACGTGACGTGTTAACGCTAACACTCAAGAGTGCCGATAGATATCAAAACCAGGTAAATTTAAACAGTTTTGATTTACAAATTTTAATTTAAGATCAAACAATTAATTTGAATATCCAAAAATAACAACTGTTTGTTTATAGTTTTAAGTTTTCACTTCTGTCGGCAGTCCTCAAGACTGCGTTTTTGTATTTTTTTTTATTATATAATACATAACATTAACAAGACTTAGTTCAGTATTATAAAATTGAACTCTTTTTTACCGTTTATTACAGTTCAAATTATTGAAAGATTATTAAAGAAATAAATTATTCTTTTAAAGAGCTGATACAATATTGTATTTTTATACTGTATGAATCGTTCAAAAATCAATAACTGAGTATACTTAGTTATCTGTTCAACAAATATATTGCTCTGCTACAAATTGAAGTTGCAGACTTCCGTCGTTTAACTTCCTTTTATTTTAGTATTACTGATCTTCTTGAGAAAAAGATTATCAAAAAATTATAAGTGCTATATTAATATTCTTAAAATATTTTCAAATTGGTTAAGTAAGCAACTTATCCTATAATTTTACTTTATTACATTACTAAAAAAAAAGCTTTTGCTAAACTTAACTTGACCTTGCTAGTTCTTTTCCGTTCAGCTACCGCGATTGGAACATGTCCTATTCACCTGAAACAAGGTAAGTGAAGTTTTTTGCTTTATTTTGAAGTGCCTTTAATTAAAGTTTATAAAATAAAGTATGTACTGTTGAACATAGTTTTAACAAGTAATAATTTATATGATTTTTCTATTAATTTCTATAATGTATTCTGCACGGTCTCCGATTGCCAACATGGCGCTGGCAGGAGAATAGTATTCCTATCCCGGCACTGTGCACGTGTTTTGATATCATATATTAGTATCTTTATTTCTATGTTAAGAAAAAAGCTATGTTAATTGTTAATGTCATGTTACATTACAAAATTATGCCTTTCATTAAAATGGGCGGAATGCGCATTACAGAGAAATGTCATTTGACAGTTTCACATTAATGATTTTTGCTTATTCATTTTATCTTGTATATTTATTTGATTTTAATAGGAAATCTATTAACGTAACTTATATCATTTTCAGATCGGAGAGTTGGCAGGAGGATAAAAATGGGCCAGCCAAGGACCAAGGCAACTACGACGGACCTCCGGGTTTGGACACCGTTGGTGCTCTTGACACAAACTGGCATGAAGTCGTGGAAAGCTTTGATGACATGAAATTAAAGGAAGAATTGTTACGAGGAATCTATGCTTATGGTTTCGAAAAACCTTCAGCCATACAACAACGCGCGATAATGCCTTGCATTCAAGGTCGCGACGTTATTGCTCAAGCTCAGTCAGGAACTGGAAAAACTGCAACATTCTCCATTTCAATTCTACAGCAAATTGATACTAGTATTCGCGAATGTCAAGCGCTTATTTTAGCTCCAACCAGGGAATTGGCACAGCAGATTCAGAAGGTATAAACATAATGATAATTTGTGGTACTGATTTAATGTTGTCTTTAGAGGAAGTGTTTTTAAATATATCTTGTCAATTTAGGTGGTTATTGCTCTTGGTGATCATTTGAATGCTAAATGCCATGCCTGCATTGGTGGTACAAATGTGCGTGAAGATATTCGTCAATTGGAAAGTGGTGTTCATGTGGTGGTTGGTACTCCTGGTCGTGTATATGATATGATTACTCGTCGTGCCCTCCGTGCCAACACAATTAAGCTATTTGTGCTTGATGAAGCTGATGAAATGTTATCCAGAGGGTGAGTAATATTTTAAAAATGGTGACTAGTGTTAATTTGTTAATGATTATAAACATGTAAATTTATATGAAGTTTTTGATTGATTTTTAAAAGAAATACACTACAATATATTATAGGTAAAAATGTATTTTTAAAAACAGGTCAACATATTTTTATATTGATTTTTAGGTTTAAAGATCAAATCCACGATGTTTTTAAGATGTTGTCTTCTGATGTGCAAGTTATTTTGCTATCAGCTACTATGCCTGATGATGTGTTGGAAGTGTCACGGTGCTTCATGAGAGAACCCGTGCGTATTCTAGTGCAAAAAGAAGAGGTAAGCTAAATATGATTGTATATTATGTTTATTTTAAGAAATAATGTTAACAAACTGCTTGGGACTTAAATTTATTTTTCATATAGACTTTTAAGTTTCATTATATTGTGTAAGGTTACATTTTGTATTAGTGCTATTTAATCATTCAAGAGTATCATGTGACTTATTTGTCTATTAATGGTTTCTTATTTCTAGAAATATGTGGACTTGTAACTGCTTATTTTATATTAATAAAATCTATGTTATTTAAATATATATGTAAATTTACATAAGAGTGCAATATTTACAATAAATAATATTAGATTGGTCTTAAACTCATTACTTTAAATCCATGACAACAATTAACAAAAAAAAAATTTAATATTTATCTTTTATTTTAGTTAACCTTGGAAGGTATTAAGCAGTTCTTCATTTCCATTGAGATGGAGGACTGGAAGTTGGATACTCTATGTGACTTGTATGACACACTCTCCATTGCCCAGGCTGTCATTTTCTGTAATACTCGTCGCAAGGTAAATTTATTACAATATTTTAATAATTTATTTCTTTATAATATAGAACTATCCATGTTTTCTGATAAGAATTGAAATAGTTAAAATTGCTTAATTTTTAAGAAATTTTAGGAAATATAAGTTATGTCCTTCCAGAAGTAGATAGTATTTTATAGGTCACATGAACAATTTGTGAAATAAGCTTCAATCTTTGTAAGATAATCTAAAACAGAGGAACATTATTTCTAATATTTTATATAATGTATCCATAAATATCATAATGTATATCCTAATTTAATTTTAAAATAAACTATAGTAATATAATTGGCTTATAGTATAACAGTGTCATATTCAGGAGTGTCGTGTTCAGTGTCAATCTTACATAAAATCACAATTCAAGGCCATGTCTATGTGTAATATTAACATCTAACCTTGCTTACGTATGAGCAATTTTATAGTTGAGTACTGATTTGTTTCCAATTTAAACACATTTTCCTATTATTTTGAGGAATTTTATTTAAAGTTATATTTTATTATATTTACAATTGTATATTTATAAAAAAGTTCTATTAAAACTATTTTATTACAACTAAGACAAAGTATATAACTTAACTAAATAAATGAAACTAGATATTTTAACATACAATCTTCAAACTGCTTTAGGCAGATCCTTCTCAGTAAAAATTCATTCTTGTCTAAGCTGTAATTGGAATGGTTTTAAATTAGTGCTTTCTATGATCTTATTGGTTTGAACTTCACAATAAGCAGGATCTCTGCCATTATACAGTAGAAATTAGATAATTTTAAAATATTTATAACATCATATATAAATACATATATAATGTATTTTACTGTAGTGAAAGATGACTTGAGTGTAAATCATTGATTACATTAAGAATGAATAGTTGACGTCATGTTGAAGCCTAGATTTTAATCATTTAATAAATTAATTAATTAATTGTATATAAATACTTTTCAGGTCGACTGGTTGACTGAATCCATGCACACCCGCGACTTCACCGTATCCGCCATGCACGGCGACATGGACCAGCGCGAGCGCGAGGTCATCATGAGACAGTTCCGCACAGGGTCTTCCCGTGTGCTCATCACTACTGATTTACTTGCTCGCGGAATTGACGTGCAGCAAGTGTCTTGCGTTATTAACTATGATCTGCCCACCAACCGTGAGAATTACATTCATCGGTAAGATTATCGCTTTCACACTCAGGTCTTCAAGTAACATTTATTTACACATTAAAATTGTATTATTTATACGTTTACGGTACATTATTGTGTATTATTATTATTTTTTTTATATTTTCAGTATCGGAAGAGGCGGCCGTTTCGGTCGTAAAGGTATTGCTATTAACTTCGTGACCGAAGCCGATAAGAGAGCATTGAAGGATATTGAGGAATTCTACCATACAACTATTACGGAAATGCCCAACGATGTGGCCAACCTCATCTGAGGCGCCAGCGCATTCCAGTTTATACTTTGTGTCCTGCATTCTATTGCGATATTTAAACGGTGTGAGTATTAGGGGCAACCTCCTAAGTACCGCTGTGCTGATTTTTTATTGGAACTCATTTAATTTGGACCGTTATATTGGTTTTGTTTAATGAAATAATACAATACTATTATAGTATCGATATAAGTTTAATATACATAGTTATAAGCCCGGCTCGGCCGGATGGCCCCCGTTCCGCGCGGACCCCGCTGCTATCTGCAGAGGGGTCTCATCGGGTACTGGAGAGGCTATTTCAATCACAAAAGTACTAGAAGGAAATAATGTATTGTAGCTTATTTTCCAGTTGTACATAATATGGTAAACTGTTTTTTGTAATACGGTAAATAAATATGATTAAATATCTTTTCTGTATTGTTATTGATGTGAATTGTAGCGCTCCACTCCCGATCGGAACCTTAATTTCTCAGGAGCCGTGAACTCAATTTAATATATTTTGTTTACAGAAAATCTACCAACTGAGCTGTTGAAACGCACTTTGGACACAACTATGTGGAAATAATAAATCAAAATTTCCTCTAAGTCATTACTTTCTTTTGACAGGTCCTTTTGTATCCTGTTTTCCCATATTACTATTAATTTTCTACATGGTTTTTATGTTCATTTAGAATTATTTATATTTTTGGAATAAATTTTCTTCAAAATATATGAAGTTGGTAATTAAGGTTCCTGTTTGAAAGTGCGAAATAACATTTAACAAGTATATAATATACAATTAGCTTTTAAAATATAGGCTTGATCCATTTTAATCAAACTAAGTTTAATTTACATATATTTGAGTTCTTTGTTTATTGAATTTGCTAAACTTAGAACGCACTGTCAAATAATCGGGACACGGCTAAAACTTCTCTCATACTTAAAATTAATACATATATTTTACGACAACCACTATTCATACCAATATTCAGAATATATTGAGAAAAATATATCAATAGTAGTTTTTTTTTTCAGGCACTAATTAGTTTATTTTGCTTAAATTGCACATACAGTATCACGGTGCGTTCTAGGCGTAGGATACCACACTGATACATCCCCTAATAAATAATCAATAAATTATCTAAAGGAAAATGCTCCTTTCATTTTCCTTCACAAATATTCTTTACTTCGGTAATCTCATCATACTTGACATTCATAGTCAATACTTTAAACAAAATATACAAAAACCTGATAATTGCGTTTTCTTTTAATTGTAGAACTGTGGTTATTTGATTACCAAATAAAAAATACAATATCTTAAATAAAAGATATTGGTATATTTTTTTTAATATAAAATTAGCTCTTTGACTAGATCATCGAATTAATGGAAGAACATATAGAAATATCATTGAAATAATGGTTTATATAAATTAAAAAAGATAATTTGTTAAAAAATGAACATGTATATTTGGAGTTTATTAAAACAAACAAATTTTAAACAGTATCCAGTAAAAGGCTGTGTATTAAAACAATTATTACCTATCAAAAAAAGATAATCGTGAATGAAATGTGTGCATTTTTATTTCATAAAATTACAAATATACACTGGCGATGCAAGTTCATGATAAGCTCTTGGTGTTCCCTTATAATTTATCACCATAGAATACGCGCAGGTTACACGCGTAAAAAATCACCGTGTGTCCTTATTTGTAAATCATTACTGTGCACTACACAGCTGTGGGTGATATGAGGTTAAAAGTATTAAAGTAATTAATATATAAAAAATTTACTCTCGATAATAGGTAGTACCAGTGCAATCACAAGGAGCCAACTTCACGCAAGCACGTTCAACTTCTACGAACTTTTATTCATCTATTGTAACTAGGCAGACCCTGAGCTAAAAATATAGCTAAATACTACTTGAATTGGTTGCGTTGTTTAGGCATAGTAATATGGTACCAAAATATATGTTGAATGATGATCTAATTTATTTTACTACCGACTTACCCTTGCTTTGCTCATCCCTAGAGCCTAGGTATGTTTTATTTTTTTAGCGGGACCCTTATTCTTTTTCTATCATCAGCTATCTGCCAGTGAAAGTCCCGTCAAAATCAATCCAGCCGTTTCGGAGATTGGCCGGAACAAACGGACAGACGGAAAAAAAATGTTTTTTAAGTACCGTGTACACTAGTACATACATACATTCCTGATGCGTAGTTAAACTACGATTACGTTTGAATAATTTCCGTTGAAGACGCAACTAAGGTCCTTGATGATAGCGCAGTATAGCAATTTAACGTTAAAAATAAGCTTATTTAAAATCGTCCCACTTTAAAAGTAATGATGTAAGTACATGAAACTTGGTATTAATGCTCTTAAATACATGCATAGCATTTTTCGAAATTCATCCCATAAAAGGGTAAAAAAGGGGATGAAAGTTTGTATGAAACCTACCTTTTTAAAGTATTTTTTATAGTAGCGCGGGTTCAGCTAGTTTATTATAGAATATTAGTTAGTAAACAGCAATTTATGTAAAACAACATTAAAATAAGATTTTATTTTATAACTTTCTAATCTATAACATTGAAATAGATGCCAGGCATAATATCATCACAGTCTTATAAATAAGTAAAAACTAAAATTATATTTATTCATAATAGATAAAATATCAATAAATTAATATCACACTTCTGGTTATATTCATCTTGATGAATATATAGTACAGAAACACTAAATACAAATATCATAAAAATGCAAATAAAAGTATCAACAGCAGAACTGACACTGGGAAGAATATATAAACAGACATTCTTGGATGACATATGGATCTTAAAATAAATGATTCTTCATCATTATTATTTAAACCATCTTTAGTTGGTACTTCAACAATAACTAATTCATTACTAAACATTTCTACATCAAACTGGCATTCAGTCTTGTTTAAACACATTTTAGACTTGGACATATTTGAGTATTGGAATGTAGGCTTGTAAATATCAAAAATGGCATGAATATCATTATTTACAAAATCATTGTCACTATAAAATATATAATAGTAATATCCATCTGATGTTACTTGATGATCAACTTTTAATGTTGTTATTTCTTCTAAATACTTGGTATTGTTGCATTGTGTTGAATATGGGAAAAATTCATTCATTAATATATTATCTTGATAGCAATCATATAAATTAACTTCAAAGCTTGAAACTGATTTATCTTCAGAAGGTTTAATGGTGAGGTTAGGTGCATTTCCACCATGATTAACACCAGCATCTAATACAGTATTGGGATTATGTAATGCTTTATTAGTATCCCTTTTATGTTTAGTTTTCAGCTCGTCCATTTCATAAGAATCATTTTCAACCAGCCAGGTTTCATCTACTGTTTCATAATTATGTTGTGGAACTTCTCTTTTTTTATTTCTAGGATTTTCTAATGTAACTGAAACATGTCCATGTTTTTCTATAAGTAATGGGTCTTTTTTATATTTATCACCATCTAAAATACCGCAAGTGTTTAATATTTTATCACCTTTCACAACCAATATTTTTGAACCTTCATATCTCGAACAGCCTCTTAGCTCCACAGTAGCTCCAGCAAAAAGAAAAAATCCCCAGTATTCTAATGTATCATCAGGTAAGGTCATTGACTTTTTTAGTTGAATATGTCTTCTCTTAGTAGCTAGTTTTGGTCTACCTTTCATTTGGAATGCATTGAAGCTACTATTCATCTTTAAGGAATGTTTTTCACAAAATATTGATGACTGTCCTTTATGTATTTGTATGACATCTGAGTCTGATATTCTATACATAACATCAGCATATTTTATATTTCTAAGATATAATGGAGAGATTATGAGTATTGCAGGTAAGACAGTTGTTAACAAGCAAAACATAACAACTCTCTGGGTTCCATGCATCTTACCGCCATCTGAAAATAAAAGAAATATGTGTAAACACAAAAAGCTTTATGATCTTCTTTGTTATCATGTATACCAATACACTAATATTATGAAGAGGTAACATTTGTAAATTTGTATGCAAGGGGTTAACTCTAAAACTACTAATTTGATCCTCAAAATAGATATCTCAAGTGCTGGAGGCTATTTTTGTCATTAGTGTCAGAAATTATTACAATTTTAATTGAAGTCAGAAAAAAGTAGCTGTTGAGTTGCTTTATCAAAGTGAGCCACCTCCATGTATCGAAATAAATTTTATGACAAAAAGACACCTAAGAGTCACTTACTATTCATAAAAATATTTTAAGAAGAATCCATACTATGGACAAAAGTTACTTGTGTCTGATATCTTTTTAGGCATAACACACTAAACCGATTTAAGTGAAATTTGGTATGGAGGTAATTTGAGACCCTGGGAAGGACATAGGATAGTTTTTATCCCAGAAATCATCCCTTAAGTGGGTGGAAGTTTGTATGCGGAATCATTCATTTCTCAAGTAAGAGATATATAGGTCATCATACTTATGTATACATATTCCATCTAATCCATACTAAGTGTCAAATGTACCTGGGGACAAACCCGAGCAAAGCAAGGGTGAGTCACTAGTATTAATATAAAACATCAATATGAGGGCTATAATAGGACTCCTTATGAGATTTCCATATCCTTTTATACTGCAATAAAAATTAATCATAATATGTATTATGAGATCTATCATAGGCTAATTAGTGGGGCAGGATGGGGTGAATTTGTTATATACCCCTGTAATGCAATAATGTAAACATTCATAGATTAAGCTGTCAGATTACATAGAAGTTAGCCAAGTAACATTCTTTCAAAATAGCACTGGTAGATGTTGGTTATAAGCAAATTCAGGGTAAGGAATGTTTTATAAGGATTGTAAGTTTCCTTGAAAGGTGTTCAACAATTACAATTAGTATCGGTCTCCTGTTTATAGAATTAGGCGTACACAATTTTTTACTTCTACAATTACAATAATTAATGATTTTCACGAGATTCAAATTTCAAACGCTTACCAGGTTCCGAACGATTTGTAAGCTTTTAAAAATTTGTTATACTTTTAATATAATCAAAATGTTGTCAATTTAATCTTTAGTGGAAAGTGTTTCTTTGATGTAATTATTATCACATTTTAATGGCAAAAGCTTATATTTTGTTCCATTATTTTCAAATATTTTAATTTGTACAGCACATAGAGTATATTGCTACATATATAAAGCATGTACCGGTGTACTCGAGTCAGTAGGCTTTTTCAGTTTTCAAGATTGAGTATTGACAACTGAGTACTGACAAGTTGACAACTGACAAAGTGACAATATTAATTTCATAGAGTAGCTATTACTTTCTTTTAGGCCGACCTCGGCACCACACCCAATGTGGGGGTTTGGTAGTGTGTTGTTGTTGAGTTGGCGAGAACTTAATAAAAGTCTATGTACAATTCACAGCCTTTAATGCACTATTTTACACCCACAAAATATAGAAGGAGAAAGAGCAAAGCGGAAAGATAGTTCATACAGTTTACACGATAGAAAGCACAAAGATAGTAGAAATAATATACATAAAATTACGAAGCTTATATGATTAAGTACGTAAGCTTGGAATGGCGAGTAAGCGAGCGGTACGTGTCTCTCGTCTAGCGTGCGGATTGCGACTGACTGGAGTAAGGAGTTGAAACTTTTTAACTTTTAATTAACTTGAAAAGATCGTAGATGCTAATGCGCGGGCGCCGCTAATGGTAAACACCGAGGTGCGGTGCGCGGGAGGAAAGATGACATTACGTCACCTCGATCAGCTGTCCGCGAGGCTCAAGTTCAAGGCTCAAGTTCTATGCGTATTTTTTTTATTTTTTTTATTTTTTTATTATGTAGGGTGTGTGTAAGGTGTGTGAATTTATTTAATGTTTTATGATTAATGTAAGTCAGCCACATCACTCCCCTCCAGAGACCGTTCACGGGCGAAAGTAGTCTGGAAATCTAACTTTACGACCCGATCGAGTAGTTTTTAAAATTGGAGTGATGGTAACATTTTTATCATCGAAAGCTTTAGGTGTAATGTTTTGGTCTGACAGTATGTAGGCTGGTTTTATACGGTCTATCGATACTGTGACATCTTTACCTTTTATACGGATTTTAAAAACTTTTGAATCTCTTTCGATTACTTCATGCGGGCCAGTATATGCTGCTTGAAGTGCACCTCGAAGAGAATCTTCGCGTAAAAATACGTGTGAACATGATGAGAGGTCTTTGTATATAAAAATTTTATTATTATGTGTGTGATGTCTAACAGGGACTGGTTTTAAGTCATTGGCAAATGATCTGATACGGGAAGAAAAATCTGTTATATCAGTTGTACACTTGTCAATGCTCTGGTCAAAGAAATCGCCTGGAAGACGTAAAGGTTCTCCATAAACGAGCTCTGCTGAGGAACATTGTAAGTCCTCCTTGAAGGAACTTCGTATTCCAAGGAGAATAAATGGTAGCGATTCCGACCATCTACAATCAGCATGGCACATTATTGCTGCTTTTAATTGTCTATGGAATCGCTCGACTAGACCATTGCACTGAGGATGGTAAGCAGTTGTTTTACGATGTCGGAAGCCAATAGACTTCGAAAGCTGCTGAAATAGCGTAGACTCAAACTGCCTACCACGATCAGTGACAATGTCTGTAGGGCAACCATAACGTGCAACCCATTCGGATAAAAATGCTTTGGCTACAGACTCCGCCGTAATATCGGTAAGAGGTACAGCTTCGGCCCATCGTGTGAAACGATCGACGGCTGTTAAGCAGTACCGATACTCGGCAGATGGAGGTAATGGTCCGATGAGGTCTAGATGCACATATTTGAAACGCGCCTTCGGTATATCGTGCGTGCCCAGAGGAGACGACACGTGTCGATTCACCTTCGCGCGTTGGCAATCCAAACATGCCCTAGCCCACTCGCGACACTGCTTTCTCATCTGCGGCCATACGTAGCGTTGTGCTACGAGTTTAGCACTAGCATTAGCGCCGGGATGGCTTAATGAATGCAGGCTATTAAAAACTTGTTTGCGTAATGATTGAGGTATGAAAGGCCTAGGTGTCATTGTACTTACATCGCAGTACAGATAAGTGCGACTACCTGGAATTGTCATCCTTTCAATACGCAGAGAAGAATCTTCTTTTAAGTATTTATTAAGTTCGCTATCAGAGTTTTGAGCCTGAGCTAGCACTTTGAAATCTACAGGGATCTGTAACTCTTCGATGCGTGATAATGTATCTGCGACTACGTTGTCCTTGCCAGAAATGTGACATATATCTGTAGAAAATTGAGATATGTAGTCCAGATATCTATATTGACGCGGCGAGCAATTATTCTTACGCTCACTAAATGCATAACATAAGGGTTTGTGGTCAGTATAAATAGTAAAGCTTGTTGTCTCTAGCCAATGTCTAAAGTATTTAATACTCTCGTAAATTGCTAGAAGTTCTCTGTCGTAGGGCGAGTATTTCCTTTGCGATGGACTCAACTTACGAGAAAAGTAAGCTAGAGGTTGCCAGTTACCATCCTTTAACTGCTGCAAAACGCTACCAATGGCGAAATCTGAAGCGTCAGTTACAAGGCTTAGTTTTGAGTCAGGATCAGGGTGTGCTAACATAGCTGCATTGCACAAACTGTCTTTACATTTCTCGAATGCTTTCAACGAATCTCCACATATGTCTACAGTCTGAGAGGCTTTCACGGAACCAGTTAAGAGGGCATTTAAAGGGGCTTGGATATGAGCTGCTTGAGGTATAAACCTCCTATAGAAATTAACCATACCCAAAAATCTCCTAAGCTGCTTAGCCGTATTAGGTACGGGGTAATTTTTTATTGCCTCTACTTTACTCTCCAAAGGTTTAGTGCCGGCCTGTGAAATATGGTAGCCTAGAAAAGTGACTTCTGTTACTCCAAATTGACACTTAGAGGTATTTATTAAAATGCCATAGTCTCTTAACCTCGTGAAGAGTTGACAAAGATGGTCCTGATGTTGTGACTCATCCTTCGAAAATACTAATATGTCATCGAGATACGGGTAACAAAAATCTAAACCACGTGTCACTTCATCTATAAACCTTTGGAAGGTCTGAGCGGCGTTCCGTAGACCAAAAGTCATATATGGAAATTCGAAGAGTCCGAACGGTGTAGTTATAGCAGTTTTTGGAATATCCTGCTCAAACACTGGTAACTGGTTATATGCTTTAACTAAGTCAACCGTAGAAAATATGTTACATCCAGAAAGGCTATGAGCAAAGTCCTGGATATGCCTAATGGGATATTTGTCAGGAATTGTCCTAGCATTTAGCATCCTGTAGTCACCACAAGGACGCCAGCTATTGTCCTTTTTGGGGGCTAGATGAAGCGGTGAGGACCAGGAGCTTTCTGAAGGTCGAGCTGTGCCATTAGCCAACATGGCTTCAAACTCAGCCTTAGCTATCCTTAGCTTATCTGGAGCGAGACGTCTTGGTGAACAAGCTACTGGTGGGCCTGGTGTGGTGCGAATGTGGTGTGTAATGTTGTGTTTTATGATGCGTACTGGGCCAGCTGGTCGAGTGATCTCAGAAAATTCGGAAAGTATATTATTATATTTATTATCACAAGTCATGATCTTAACGCTAGACACTAGACTATCTACTCTACTAGAAATCATGGCTACAGTACACAAATTAGTTGTATTATCTATTAAGCGTTTATTGCGAATATCTACAACTAAATTAAAATAAGATAAAAAATCTACGCCAATAATTGCTTTAGATACATCTGCAACTACAAAACGCCACATAAATTCTCTACGTAAGCCTAAATTTAAAATAAGTTGTACATAACCATACGTGTTGATCGTAGTACCATTTGCTGCACACAACTGGTAATCCGTTTTTGCACGTCGTTGTTGAATCGCGTCATGAGGAAAAACACTCACATCACTTCCTGTATCGATTAAAAATTGCACTTTCGAACTATGATCTGTCACAAACAGGCGACCAGTATTAGAAGACGGAGGGCAATCGTCAGCCGCCATCACCGACTGCCCGTCTCGTTTCCCGACTTATAATCACATGGTAAGGTACATCTAGTCGCTTTATTGCCGAATTTGTAGTGATACCAGCATATGGGAAACTTCCTAAAGTTGGAATGTGATCTTCTAGAATTGGAATAACTGCGCTGACGTGGCCTTTGTCTATGCCGTGGACGCGCACGATCGAAGTTCTGGGTAGTCAGTTCACTCACTTGCTTCGTCAATGCCGTTATTTGACGCGCCATGACATCCATCGCCGATTCTAACCTTGAAATAGATGCCACTGCCAATTGAGGCTGGCTAGGTGCTATATCATGTACCCTGTCCGCTAATTCGGCTAAATCTTGAAGAGCCATATTAGGTTGAGAAGCGATAATAGTCTGTAAATTATTTGGTAAACGACTAGTCCACACATCCATAATAAAATCGTCAGGCATATTCGGTCCTGCTAATTGTTGTAAGTGTCGCAAAAATTGAGAAGGTTTGCGATCTCCTAATTCCTCAGATTGTAATAATTGTTTCACCTTCTTCTGTCTCGATATAGAAACACGCTTAATAAGCTCTGATTTAAGCTTTTCGTACTTGCCAGTAGAGGGTGGATTTTCAATTATATCCTCGACCGTTGCAGAATATTGCCCGTCCAAATGCGCCAGAACGTAATAAAATTTAGTGTTGTCATCTGTTATCCGTGCTAAGTTAAATTGCGCTTCAATTTGTGCAAACCAAATCTTAGGTTTTTCTATCCAAAATGGCGGTATACGCACGCCGACACGAAATAACTCCGTCGAAAGATCTCGGTCCGTTGAAACGCGCTCACATTTCTTAACACGTTGGCGAACACGTGGACTTTTCGCAGAGGGTCCAGATTCTGCTGTAGCACCGTCGTCACTGCTCATTTTAATGTTCAATTGGGGTCACCACTGTGGGGGTTTGGTAGTGTGTTGTTGTTGAGTTGGCGAGAACTTAATAAAAGTCTATGTACAATTCACAGCCTTTAATGCACTATTTTACACCCACAAAATATAGAAGGAGAAAGAGCAAAGCGGAAAGATAGTTCATACAGTTTACACGATAGAAAGCACAAAGATAGTAGAAATAATATACATAAAATTACGAAGCTTATATGATTAAGTACGTAAGCTTGGAATGGCGAGTAAGCGAGCGGTACGTGTCTCTCGTCTAGCGTGCGGATTGCGACTGACTGGAGTAAGGAGTTGAAACTTTTTAACTTTTAATTAACTTGAAAAGATCGTAGATGCTAATGCGCGGGCGCCGCTAATGGTAAACACCGAGGTGCGGTGCGCGGGAGGAAAGATGACATTACGTCACCTCGATCAGCTGTCCGCGAGGCTCAAGTTCAAGGCTCAAGGTCTATGCGTATTTTTTTTATTTTTTTATTTTTTTTTATTATGTAGGGTGTGTGAAAGGTGTGTGAATTTATTTAATGTTTTATGATGAATGTAAGTCAGCCACACCCAACATAAATAATAATAATAATAATTACTTTCTTTTAGAAAATAGGATACTAAATATGACTATGGCATAGTTGTTGATTTTGTAAACATAGTAGATCATGTACCTAACAGATCAATCATCATAAAACGTCTAAGTAATACGATATTACACCATGAACCATCTCTGTGCCGCATCTTTGGCGCACAAACAAGAACAATGCAAATAAAAACTTAAAGATAACCGACTTTCAGGCACTAAAATGTAAAAAATAGCTAAACGGAGGTTTTCATTTAAATAGATACCAAATCAGATATTTTCGAAGTCGGTACCAACCGATGCAAAGCAAATCTAATATGTTTAGATACGTAAAATACATACTAATTTACCTATTAGATATTCATATCTTAAAATATTGTAGGCTGGCCCTTTGAAACAAACAAAAACTTCTAAATCGGTTAAGGCGTCTTCGAGTAATCGGTGAACATACATAAAAAAAAAGATTCCGACGAATTGCAGAGAACCTCCTCTTTTTTGGAAGTCGGTTAAAACACTTCTTAATTCTTATATTTTCTGCTACTGAATTAGTATCCGTTGCGCGTATCACGCCAAAGCAGTACTTATCAAAATGCTCGATTGAGTGGAGCGTTCCTGTAGTTGAAAAATTCGAAGTTGAGCCTATATTGCTGTAATTGAAAAACGCCCCATATGTACAAATAAGAAAGTCTTCTACAGCCGACGATAACAAACTATCGTTCTACACAATCCAATTTTTGGTTGTTATTTTGAACATTTTGAACATCATATATTATTTGTCCCTAAATTACTATTTCGTAATCGTTTCGATATGATAAGTATAGGTACCTACACTTTTCATAAGTACCTTATTTTTTAAACACTAAATCATTATTTGCCTGCAAGTACAATTACAATTTAGGTTAAAAAGTCTTATAAAACTCAAATAGCGAAGTACGCTCACTTCGATTAATTGCGTCCCTATTATCTATTATCTAAGAGTACTTATACCATGTGGTTTTATCACGAACAAAGAAAAATAAGTTTAAAAAATTGTCAATAGATGCCGTTAAACGTATTTATTTATTATTAAAATTGTGTTAAAATAACAAAAGATAAAAAGACTAGATCCCAAAAAAGTATATTATTATTTCAAAAAATATTCTAAGTAAAGGGAAAAACAAATAATGTGCCCGTAAATAAAATTTGCGTAATTTTACAGATTATTGAAATATCAGCAATCAGATGATGGCTTTACAGTGTATATTCACAGATGGAGCTTTTATATTTTATGAATTGTTTGTCACGGTTAAAAATTGTAAAATCACAGATTTTTTTTTATTCGAATGCAGAATGAATTTTATGATATAAAAACAAAACAGTTTAATTATTTGCGATTCAAAGACATCTATTATCTATTCAAGCAAACAAAAATAGCACGCAGAATAGCCCGAATTACCCGAAAAAAGTGTAAATACATCGTTGTAGATCTTTTTATTATCTACAACATTGCCATTTAACTTTTTTCCATAAGACTTGTACTTTGCCGGAAATCGAGATAAACCGTTTTTTACCCTTAAAAACTCACCCCCTCCAACTTCTAGACCTCAGGTCACCCGTTAATTATTTTTCCTTTCATTTTTGTTATATTCTCTTTCTTTTCCAATGGGTTTCATTCTACTATTATTTTTTTTTGGTTTCAAAAATTATTGACCCTGATCTAATATCTTGGAAGTGCAAAATAAACAGTCCGCCATATTAAATTTATAGCCTCTGCATTTGATACCCATATCATATGAGTGGGTCACTATGAAAATAATAAATCGCCATTTTGTAACGTCCCTCCATCGTATTGGATTAAACATGGTGGCATTTTGAAAATCGTGCAGTCACGTGAGTCAAACGTGTGTTCCAAATTTCAGCTCAATCGGACAATTGGATGTGGGTCAAATTTAACTTGTAAAATTTGATTACAGACAGACAATGAGACAGGTAAAACTAAATAAAAGCTTGTAATAATTTTTATATTTATCGATATAAAACACGTGTTGTGTATGATGATTGAAAGTTTTTATGGACACAACAAACTCAAAAATTTATAATTTCAGAAAAGACGCTGCCAATGTAAGTTGAGACATCTATATGGATGAACATATTAAACAGCGTTTAGCTTAAACTGAGCGCGCTTCTGTCGAACGCCGGCGCACCCTAATAATCGCTAAAACTCGGCTAATTTTATTTTTTTAAATAATTAGGGTTCTGTGCAAAAAAATAAAATCCATGAAATTGCGAACAAAATCCGCGTAAATCGTTTGTCTACCTATATGGAAATATCTATATGGTATTTAAAAAATCAGGTTGATATTGTGTGCAGGTGCAATCTGTTGAAAAATAATTAAAAGTGTCCGCTAAATAAAAATGGACATTCGGATTTTTTTAGTCTTCATAAAGTGTGTAGGGAAAAACAAGCACAGGAGGGGGGAGGGAGGGGGGAAATTTTAGTTTTGCCCCCCCCCCCCTGGACCAAAAGCTGGGTACGTCCATGCATATTTCCCACTAAATAGAGTAGATATACCCTACAGCCCACTTATTAGAGAATAATAAAAATGAGTCGATTTTCAATACATAAATTTTAAGTTAATAATAATCTATATTTAACAAAAAATGGTAGATACCATTTAAGTAGTTAAAAGATACACATTTTAAATGTAACCACTCTATCCTAAAGGGTGGAATTATTTTTAGAAGTATGTATTATTAAATTATTTGTTATTTGAAGACTTATTATACCCGTCCAACCCACAAAAAGAATAATGAAAATTGATTAATAATTGGCAACGATAATGCGTAATATACGAATGAATTGAGCATAATAACTTTTTAAATTTTCACGTTCCATAATGATATACTAACTAGTAGAACGCGCAGCTTCGCTCGCGCTAGGTTTCATTCAAACTTTCATCCCCTATTTTACCCCCTTATAGGATAAATTTCGAAAAATGCTAAAACACGTATTTTTTTGAGAGTGTAGAGCCGTTAAAGAATTCAGGCGTTTAGTCCCGTAGTGTAATTATTATACATATTTATATAAATTGGGAAAAGTCAAGAAAGTGGGACCTTTGTTGAAGTTTGTCAAAAAATATCGTTGCCATGGAATTGTTTTATATTATTGATTTTTTATATCCGACATTTGTAAATAGAATACTGATGGTCATTGCGAAAAGTATATTAAAATATATTTAATTAGTAATTATTTATTTTTTCATTCATTTGTGACTAAGAATTTGGCAAAAATGGAAGAGAGTGAATTAAGAAAGTTGTTGCAAACTAAAAATGGATGTCGAGTACCAACTATGCTCCCCATACCTGATGTTAATAAAATAGCAAAATTACCATTTACTCCAATGCCTCCATATAATCGGATTAAGGTAAATATATAATGTAATTACATGTAGATTGTAGATAAAAATTCTTTAATTTGGACAAAAATAATCATATTTTTCTGGCCATTGAGGCCAGAAAAATTGATAAAGATTATCTATAATAATAGAGTCACTACTCTACAAGTACACAACAGTTGTTGAATGAAATTACAAATATTACACGTCATCATCACTTATTTAAATATTAATAATAAACTTACAAAGTTTTTAAAGCTTTATTTATTTTGTCTCTATTAATGTATCAAATTTTTTCTACAAAATATAATGAAAAACGGACAGACAAACGGAAAGTGCTACCCGATATTTTTTTACTTTTATATAGGAGAAGTCCTGTGACCTGTCTATCATTTTTCGTTTCCGTCCCATCACATAATTTTTTTCTTTAAATATTTAATGTTCCATTTCATTCTAATCTAGCCCAAATTACCAATATAAATCTATACCTACATACCTATAATAAAATTGTAACCAAGCCGAGTCTGTACATTAGATATTTTTTGGAAAATCTTAATGAAATAGACATTATTATCGATGCAGAGGCCGAATCTATCGTTTTTAGAGTTTTTGTCTGTCTGTCTGTCTATCTGTCTGTTACCGCATCACAGAAAAACCACTGGAGGGATTTTGATGAAATTTGGTATGATGATAGCTGGTTATCCGGGTCAACATATAGGAAACTTTTTACCGCGTGAAAATATCTCGTTTCTGAGAAAAAATACAATAACTGCAATGAAGAGTATACTAATATGTAAAACCTAAGAATTTGGTTTTTGGTCATCTGAACGCGGACTTTAGTGGTATCGTTTATTAACGATAGATTTCAATAAATCTACACAATAAAATTTAATATTTCACCTAGTTCTCAATACTTAGTTTTAGTGCTGAATTCATTAATACAAATTATGAATTTAGCTAATAGAGGAATTGTTATTTTATCTAATAATTAACTAACGAGAAGGCAAGTACGGAAGTAAAACGAAAGTAGGCATTCTTTGACAAAAAATACTACTCAACAACAAATAATACAAAGAATATAATCATATTATATAGAAATAGAAAATCTTAATGCTCGCCATAGATTTTTATAATATAGTAACAGTACCGCGGCTTCGCCCGCGTTCATACTTCAGGATCATCCGCTGGGCTAATCTGAAGATTGCTAGAAAATTTCATCAAAATCGCTCCAGCCATTTTGGAGTGCGTAGGAAATATACTTACACACATCGATTTATGTATATAGAAGGGTAAAAATTTCAATTTTCAATATTTCTAAAACTGGGAGAGATAACGGGAGAGTTTTTTTTTCGTCCCATTCTGAGCCGATAAAACGAAATCCATCGTAAAATAGCGCTGACAAGGAAATTATAGTTTTTTAAATTAATTTACACAAATAATTTTTTAAATAATATTATTAAACGTTTTAGGATAAAAAAGAAAAATTTCGACATATTTTAGAGGAAAAAGCTGCACATAGAAAAGTTAAAATATCCAAGGCACCAGTGGTACGACGCGAGTGTGATAATTTAGAGATAACACAAGATAGACATATTAATGTTCTACGTGAATGTGCACATAAAATTCAACCACCACCAATGCTTAAATCATGGGAAAGAAAAATTCTCAGTTTAATTCCTCCCAAATTGAAAAATGCATATCCTGCTATAACTGAAGAATTATTAAAAGAAAGTAAAAATGAATGGAATCGAAATTTACATGACCTAGCGGTAAAAACTATTATTCGTGACACTCCTGGAGTGCCGAGAAAGAGATATGAGGAGCCACATTTTAAATTTAATGGTATTACTCCGAATTACAGTAAAATGATTAAATATCGTAAGAAACTGAAAACTGGATCTCTTTTGTTACATCCATTTATAAGATTAATACTTGAATCTTCAGAAAAGACGTTCCCTGAGTTTATAATTGATTTATCAAAATATAGAAGACGAGGACCCTTCGATTTGGAAGATTTTCATACCAAAGTCATTGAAGAAATTAAAAGGGCTGACTATTTAGTATCCAGTACTTGGTATTCTATTTTAGTTAATTGGCTAAAAAATCCTCGATGCCTACGGGGATTACCATCTAAAAAAGTACCTGACTTTGTTAAATGTGCTACAAAAATGATATCAATGCAAATACAGGAACTGATGCGTAGGTCTATTGATGCTATAATTAAAGCTCTTAAAGATCCTGACTCCGTTCCATTACTAAACTTGACGCTAGATTTTAACGGAGAATTTATATATGATCCGTCTTTAGAAGAAGTATATAATATATATCACGCAATAATCAATGCCCTTTCGCATATTGCTCAAAGACTTATGCCGATCGAACAGTATCTTAAAATACCATATAATTATGATGCTCTACCGGTACAATATAATGAGTGGCTACATAGGGACGGTCATGAAAGGCTGCAAGCACAACTTTATATTGTGTTTCATCCACTTGTAGAATATCAAAAAAAACTTAGAATTGACTACAATATGTTATATGGAATTGAAGCTAAATTGCAATTATTAAAATTCATTGAAGAGGCTACAGATTTTGAAGAATCACGGGAAAAAATAATTTATTTCCAAGAAATAGATTCTGAGATTACTTCTATAATAGAAAATGAATATTTTAACTGCGCAGTAGTATGTCAACTCAGAATGATAGATGGGTTAAAAGAAAAAGCTTTGGAATTCATCAATGATATCATAGACGGAATAGTAAAATCTCATATGGATGAAAATAGAAGCATATGTAATGAATTTGAAATTATTGCTGCTAAGGCACTGAAAGAACCCGAAAATGCTGCAGATTTGGTAGAACAAGGTATTTATATCTTACATGCCAAAACTGTATTGGTTGAAGCTCTAAAAGAAAGAATTTTAAGACAAATTAATATTATTTCAAATTTATTAGAGATGACGTCTTTGACAACCGAACATGTAGCTTCTAATACAAAAACCGTAAATTGGATAACAGATATCAAACCTATATTTGAAAAAAATGCAGCTGCATATGAAACTTTTAAAGCAGAAATGGAAGATAATTTATTATCAAAGATTGCATACCTAAATAAAGAAGTCTTGGAAATGACTCCATATTTGGAATTACTAGATAACATGGATGATATAAATCATACGCTACAATATTTGGAATATTTAAGAAAACTAGTACACCGACTGGATTATTGCGATAAATTAGTTGAGTGGATAAATAACGAAGAAACTACTTTTAAGTTTCCTCTATCTAGCTATGCAGACCTTGAGGAATTGAAAGATTTTATAAAACCATTTCATTGTTTAGTTTATTTAGTTCACAAATGGAAGCGTAGCTACTATACATGGATGGATGGCCCATTTGAATATTTAGATCATGATAAAATAGAGCAAGATCATGATTTTTATTATAAAGAATTTTTAAAGTTATCTAAAGCATATAGAACCAAAATAAAGCAACAAATATCCGAAGGTGTTGAAAAGCGTTTTCAAGGTTTAGTAGATGACCCTGACATAAATAATTTGCCTGCTCCAATGAAGCTGTGTGCTCAAGCAATAGCTGAAATTAAAGAATGGAGACCTAATGTTCAAATGGCCCACATAATGTGCAATCCGGCACTAGTGCAGAGACATTGGGACGAGATGTCTAATATTGCTGGATTTGATTTAACACCTAATGCTGGGACTACTTTAAGGAAAATTATAAATTTTAATCTTTGGGATGATATCGACCAATATGAAATTGTTAGTGTTGCTGCAACAAAAGAGTTAGCGCTAATAACAAATTTAAATAAAATGATGTCAGAATGGGGTGACATTTGCTTCAAGACTAGTCCGTACAAAGATACTGGGATTTATATACTTTCAGGCTTAGATGACATTCAAAGTGTACTAGATGATCATATTGTGAAAACGATTGGGATGCGAGGATCGGCATTCGTTAAACCATTTGAAGCACAAGTCAAAGCATGGTATGAAAAGATTACACGTGTGAATTCTACTATTGATGAATGGGGAAAAGTTCAAAGTCAGTGGCTATATTTATTGCCTATATTTTCATCTAAAGATATAGTTGCCCAAATGCAAGAAGAAGGTGTTATGTTTGTAGAAGTCAATAATATTTACCGACGTTATATGGGATCTGTTGATAAAGATCCTCATGTTTTAGAAATAGCTGGAGGTGCAGGCGTTTTAGAGTCATTTAAAATAGCTTCTAATTTGTTGGAAAAAATTAATGATGGGATAAATAATTATCTAGAAAAGAAACGCTTATACTTTCCTAGATTTTTCTTTTTATCAAACGATGAAATGTTGGAAATTTTGTCAGAAACTAAAAATCCACTAAAGGTACAGCCACATCTTAAAAAATGCTTTGAAGGTATTAATAGATTAGTTTTTGATCCAGAATATAATATATCTGCAATGATCTCAATGGAAGGCGAGCAAGTAGAATTTTTAGATACGATAAGTGTAGCAGCAGCGAGAGGTTCAGTAGAAAAATGGCTAGTGCAAGTTGAAGACCAGATGTTGAAAGCGGTTAAATCAGAGACTGAACTATCTTACTATGACTATCCAAATTTAAGTCGTGTAGACTGGATATTATCTTGGGAGGGTATGGTTGTGTTAGCAATCTCTCAAATTTATTGGGCTGTAGATGTTCATGAATGTTTACATACTCATAAGCTTAGTGAATTGCAGGCTTTCCACTTAAGCTTGACTAAACAATTAAATGAAACTGTTGCTATAATACGTAGAACTGATTTAACTAAACTACAGTCTATTACAGTCAAGGCTCTTATTGTGATAGATGTTCATGCTAAAGATTGTATTCAAGATCTCATTGGAAAGAATGTTACAGAAGTTACCGATTTTCAATGGTTAGCACAATTAAGATATTATTGGGAAGAAGAGAGAGTTTTTGTTAAAATTATAAATGCAGTAGTAAATTATGCTTATGAATATTTAGGTAATTCAGATCGCTTAGTCATAACACCATTAACTGATCGTTGTTATCGTACATTAATAGGAGCATATTATCTTCACTTAAACGGTGCACCCGAGGGACCTGCTGGAACTGGAAAAACGGAAACTACTAAAGATTTAGCTAAGGCTTTAGCAGTACAGTGCGTCGTTTTTAATTGTTCTGACGGCTTAGATTATAAAGCTATGGGAAAATTTTTCAAGGGACTAGCATCTTGTGGAGCTTGGGTTTGCTTTGACGAGTTCAATCGTATTGAAGTAGAGGTTTTATCAGTGATTGCACAACAGATATTATGTATAGTACAAGCAGTAAGACAACATTTAGAAACATTTGACTTTGAAGGAACCACAATAAACTTAAACCCAGCCTGCTATGTTTGTATTACAATGAATCCCGGATACGCTGGGCGTTCAGAGCTTCCAGATAATCTTAAGGTACTCTTCAGAACCGTCGCAATGATGGTTCCGGACTATGCTATGATCGGTGAAATATCACTATACTCATTTGGCTTTATAGATGCTCGTAGTTTGTCTATAAAAATCGTAACTACATATCGCCTCTGTTCAGAGCAGTTATCATCTCAAAACCATTACGATTATGGTATGCGTGCAGTAAAAACTGTTTTATCAGCAGCAGGAAATCTAAAAAGAAGTTATCCAAATGAAAGTGAAAACATTTTACTACTTCGATCTATAACTGATGTTAATTTACCAAAATTTTTGTCATTCGATGTACCTTTGTTTGAGGGAATTATATCTGATTTATTTCCAGGAATAATTCTACCAAAACCTAATTATGATAATTTTCTACGAGCTTGTAATACGATTTGTGAACTAAATAATCTACAACCAGTAGAATGTTTCTTATTAAAAGTAATTCAAACTTACGAAATGATGATTGTTAGACATGGCTTTATGTTAGTGGGTGATCCATTTTCTGCTAAGTCAATGACACTAAAAGTATTATCGGAAGCTTTAACTTTAATGGCGCATCAAAATCTTCCTGACGGTTGTGAATGTACATATAAAGTTCTTAATCCAAAAGCAGTTACAATGGGCCAGTTATACGGCGCCTTTGATCCAATATCGTATGAGTGGACAGACGGTATAGTCGCGACTCTGTTTCGGGATTTTGCTTCTGAAGATACACCTGTAAGAAAATGGATAGTTTTTGATGGGCCAGTAGATGCAGTATGGATTGAAAATATGAACACTGTTTTAGATGACAATAAAAAGCTTTGCCTTACATCAGGTGAAGTTATGGCAATGACTAATGTAATGTCAATGATTTTCGAAGTTATGGATCTAGCACAGGCTTCGCCGGCTACAGTATCAAGATGTGGCATGATATACATGGAGTCTGCATCATTTGGATTCATGCCTTTTTACAAGTCGTGGTTGAAAACGCTTAATCCCATTTGGTTAGAAGAGAACGAGGACTATATTTTCAATATGTGTGCTTGGCTGTTTGACCCTTTAGTATATTTTGTGAGAAAGCACTGTTCGCAGCTTGTTACTGGTGGTGAAGTTAATTTAGTGATAAGTACGTTGCGACTAATTGAAATGCTTATGGATAATGCTCTTGAGGGCGAAGAGGATACTAAATACACTAGAACGTGGTTTATCGCTTCGTTTATGAGTGCGTTAGCTTGGGGTATAGGTGGGATACTGAATACGGATTCTCGTGAGAGATTTGATGATTTATTAAAGGAATATTTTAGGGGTGAAAATGGTATTCCAACTGAAATAGAAAGAATTGACGTATCTATTCCAACTGAAGGAATGATAATAGATCATTATTATATGTACAAAGCAAAAGGTTGCTGGAAACCCTGGCTTGACGCTGTAAAAACAGTTCAAGTGAAAGAACAAATTAATCTATTGCAGACTGTTATACCTACATTAGAGACCGAAAAGTATATATTTCTTTTAAAATTACATACAAAATTTTCAAAGCCATTATTATTGATCGGGCCAACAGGAACTGGTAAAAGCTTTTATATTCAAAATTTTTTAATGAGCATCGATTTAGAAAAATACACTCCAGGTTTTATAACTTTTACTACAACTACATCTGCAAATCAAACCCAAGATCTAGTTCTCTCTAAATTGGTTAAGAGACGGAAAAATAATTACGGTCCTACAAAAGGTAAACAAGCTATTATTTTCATTGATGATATGAATATGCCTGCCAAGGAAACATATGGTGCTCAGCCTGCTATAGAATTATTAAGATTATATTTTGATCAAAAACATTGGTATGATTTAAAAACTACGGAAAAACTGTTTATATATGATACATTTTTTTACGGAGCAATCGGACCAGTTGGTGGAAGCAGACAGTTAATATACCCACGAATGTTGAGGCATTATAATATATATTCTATAAACGAATTTTCAAAAGAGAGTATGACTAAGATATTTACATCATTGTTGCAGTTAGGTTGGAGACGAAATGGATTTGGACAAGATACTCAACCATTTATAGTAAATATAGTAGCTGCCACTATGAACATTTATGAACAATCTACAGAAGGATTGAGACCGACTCCCGCTAAATCACATTACATTTTTAATTTACGAGACTTTTCTAGGGTTATTCAAGGCTGTGCTTTATTAAGAAAAGAATCAGCTGATAATAAAAAAACGTTCACAAGAGTATGGGTACACGAAATTATGCGCGTATTTTATGATAGACTTGTAGATGAATCTGACCGAACATGGTTTTTTAATCTTTTGAGAAACTCTACACAAGATTTCATGAAAGACACATTTGATTCTGCTTTAGATACTTATCAAAATGATAAGGGGGAGGTAACGCAAGATAATATTAAAAAATTGATGTTTGGCTGTTATCTTGATACAGATAGTGTAGAAGGAGAAAGGAGATATGAAGAGATACCTTCAAAAGAAGTATTTTTAAATGTGGCTATATCAATGTTAGCGGAATATAATACTATGCATAAAGCAAAGATGACAATTGTTTTGTTTGATTACGCATTGGAACATCTTTCTAAAATATGTAGATTACTTTCTATGCCATCAGGGAATGCTTTGTTAGTAGGAGTCGGGGGATCTGGCAGACAATCGCTCACTAGATTAGCTAGTACAATTTTAGGCCAACAAGTTTATCAGCCAGAAATTACTAAATCTTATAGTGTAAAAGACTGGCATGATGATATAAAATTGGTTCTTCGAGAATCAGGTGGCTTAAATAAAGATACTACATTTTTATTCACTGAAAACCAAATTAAGGAAGAAATATTTATACAAAATCTAGACAGCTTATTGAATTCAGGCGAAGTTCCTAATTTATATGGACTAGATGAAATTCAAGAAATTCTTGAATTAGTTCGATTAGCGGCTCAGGGTGGCAACAGAAATCTAGATATAAGCCCTTTACAAATACTATCTTTTTTCATAGGTCGCTGCAAAGCTAAACTACATATTGCTTTATGTTTTAGCCCCATTGGAAGTTCATTTAGAACAAGATTACGACTATACCCTTCTTTAGTGAATTGTTGTACTATTGATTGGTACGACAGTTGGCCAGAAGATGCATTGGAAATGGTTGCGCATTATTATATGGTCAAAGTAAATGTACCGGACAAAGTGAAAGCAGCAGCAGTGGTCGCATGTAAACAATTTCATGTTGATGCTCGAACTGTAGCAACTGATTTTTTTAACCAGTTTGGAAGAAAAACTTATGTAACATCTGCCTCTTATTTGAATTTAATAAAATCATTTACAATTTTAACAAATAAAAAGCAAAGAGAATTACGAGCAGCTAAATTAAGATATACAAATGGCTTAGATAAATTGAGTCAGGCAGCAGATGCAGTTGCCATCATGCAGCGAGACTTGAATGCTCTAAAACCACAATTAATAGTTATGGCAGCAAAATCTACTAAGATGATGGAGGAAATTGCAGTAGAAACAGCTTCTGCTGATACAGCAGCAGCTCAAGTTAGGGAAGATCAAAAAGTAGCTAATGTTCAAGCAGCAGCTGCCCAGGAACTTAAGAAAGATTGTGAGGCAGATTTAGCATTGGCTCTGCCAATTTTAGAAGATGCTATTGCAGCCTTAAATACTCTTAAGCCAGCTGATATAACTATTGTTAAGTCTATGAAAAACCCGCCAGCAACCGTAAAATTGGTTATGGCTGCTGTATGTGTTATGAAAGGAATTCCTCCAGATAAAATACCTGACCCTGATAATCCTGGTAAAAAAATTCTAGATTACTGGGGTCCTAGTAAAAGAATTTTAGGTGATATGAGTTTCTTAGATTCATTGAGGAATTTCGATAAAGATAATATACCAGTAGCTACTATGCAAAAAATTAGAAAAGAATATCTCTCTCATAAAGATTTTAAACCTCATATAATAGCTAAAGCTTCTACAGCAGCCGAGGGGTTATGTAAATGGATAATTGCTATGGACATGTATGATGCTGTAGCTAAAGTAGTTGCTCCTAAAAAAGCTAAACTAGAAGCTGCAGAAAAGGAATTTTCTGAAACAATGGCAATTTTGGAGGAGAAAAAAGCTACAGTTGCCAGATTAGAAGCAAGGCTAGCAGAGTTAAATGAAGCATTAGAAGAAGCTAATATTAAAAAGAAAGCATTAGAAGATGAAGTTCAACTTTGTATTGATAAGTTATATCGCGCTGAAAAACTAATAGGTGGTCTTGGAGGTGAAAAAGTACGATGGACCCAAGCTGCTGAGAATTTACAACGCTTATATGATAATTTAGCGGGTGATATTCTTGTATCTTGCGGTATTATTGCATATTTAGCTCCCTACACACTGCCAATTAGAGTCACAATTATTTCACAGTGGCGAGATTTAATTATTAAATTAGAAATGCCACATTCTGAACAATTTATATTTAAAGATATCTTAGGGACGGATATTAAGATACAGAATTGGTGTATCGCTGGATTACCTTGGGACTCATTTTCCATAGATAACGCAGTTATACAAGATAACTCTTTACGATGGTCATTAGTTGTTGATCCACAAGGTCAAGCTAATAAATGGATAAAAACAATGGAAAAATCTAATGATTTGCAAGTTATGAAGTTCACCGATGGCAATTATATGAAAGTAATAGAAACATGTTTGGAGTATGGTAAACCTGCATTGATTGACTGTATATTAGAAGACATTGAACCACCATTAGATCCGGTTCTACTAAAACATACTTATACACAGGGCGGAAAGGAATTTATTGCTTTGGGTGAGAATGTAATAGAATATCATCCAAACTTCCGATTATATATGACAACAAAATTAAGAAATCCTCATTATTTACCTGAAGTATTTAATAAAGTTACTTTAATTAATTTTGCGCTTACAAAAGATGGATTGGAGGATCAGTTACTTGGTATAGTGGTTGCTAAGGAGAGGCCAGATTTACAGGAAAAGCGAGAAAAATTAATTGTACAGGGAGCTGCTAATCGAGCAGCGCTTAAACAAGTTGAAGATGACATTTTACGAACGTTACAAGAGTCTAAAGGAGATATACTAGAAGATGAAACAGCCATAGAAGTATTAGATTCTTCTAAGCTATTGGCCATTGACATAATGAAGAAACAAGAAGCTTCTGTTGAAACTGAAGTAATTATCGAAAAATTTAGGCTTGGATATAGGCCCATAGCTTCTCATTCGGCTGTCTTATATTACTGTGTTACCGAGTTGCCTAATGTTGATCCAATGTACCAATACTCCTTAACTTGGTTTATAAATTTATACATAATTTCTATTGAAAATGCGAACAAATCTAAGGATTTAGAAAAACGATTAAGATTTTTAAAAGATACTTTCACGTACAATTTGTACAGTAATGTTTGTAGGTCTCTATTTGATAAAGATAAACTAATGTTCTCGTTTATTATGTGTTCTAAGATGATGCTGTCTACTGGTGAAATGGATCATGATGAATACAGTTTTCTTATAACTGGTGGAATAGCTGTAGAAAATCTTTTTAAGAAACCTGTTGAATGGGTACCAGATAAAGGTTGGGATGAAATATGTAGATTAAATGAATTGCCAGCATTTAAAAGTTTTAAAAATAGCTTTGTAAATTTCATAAAAAAATGGAAGGACGTTTATGACGATTTAGAACCTCATCATAAAACCTTACCTGGTGAATGGGACGAAAAATTAAAGCCATTTCAGAAATTACTGATTGTGAGAGTTTTGCGGCCTGATAAATTAACATTTGCAATATCCGATGTTGTAGAAAAACAAATGGGTCAAAAATATATAACACCTCCACCATTCGATATTGGAAAATCTTTTGGAGATTCTAACTGTTTAGCACCATTGATTTTTATTCTTTCTCCTGGTTCTGATCCAATGGGAGCTTTGATAAAATACTGCGGAAAAATGGGATATGGGCATAGATTTAATTCAATATCCTTAGGTCAGGGACAGGGTCCGATAGCAAAGGCTATGATAGAACGGGCACAATTGGAAGGCGGTTGGGTATGTTTACAAAACTGTCACTTGGCAGTATCTTGGTTACCTACTTTAGAGAAAATTGTTGAAGGCTTCGATTTGACTAATACTGATTTGAGTTTCAGATTATGGCTTACTAGCTATCCTTCTGATAAATTCCCACAGTCTATTTTACAAGTAGGTGTAAAAATGACGAATGAACCTCCCACAGGTCTTCAACATAATTTAAACAGATCTTATTTATCAGAGCCATTAAAGGAATCTGAATTTTACGAAGGCTGTCCAGGAAAAGATAAAGCTTTTAGCAAGCTTTTATATGGTATAAGTTTTTTTCATGCAGTAGTGCAAGAAAGAAAAAAATTTGGTCCTCTTGGTTGGAATATTCAATATGGTTTCAATGATTCTGATTTTCATATTTCCGTCATGCAGTTACAAATGTTTTTAAATCAATACGACGAAATACAGTATGTGGCTATAAAATATTTAACTGGAGAATGTAATTACGGTGGTAGAGTAACTGATGATTGGGATAGAAGACTAATTGTCACGATTTTAGATAATTACGTAAACGCAGGTGTTGTTAATGAACCAAATTACTTATTTTGTGATTTAGGCATACATTATGGACTTCCCCGTAGATGTGAGTATCAAGATTATTTAAAACATATTGAATCAGTTCCAGTAAATCCTCCTCCGGAAGTATTTGGCTTACATATGAATGCAGGAATAACTCGTGATTATTCAATTTCTATGGCATTAACAACCGCCTTAGTTTTAGTGGAAGGTACAAGCAGTGGAGGTGAAGGTGGAAATACTGAAGATATACTAATGCTAATGGCATCTGAAATTTTATCAAAATTACCACCAGCATATGATATAGAAACATCTCAACAAAAATATCCTGTTGACTATAATGAATCTATGAATACAGTTTTGATCCAAGAAATGCAGCGATTTAATAAATTATTGTATGAAATTAAAAGTTCTTTAGTGGACCTCCAAAAAGCAGTAAAGGGTGTTATTGTTATGTCTCCCGCCTTAGATTTACAATCCAATGCTATGTTACTAGGAAAAATACCTGATAATTGGACAAAGGTCTCTTATCCCAGTCTAAAACCATTACCAAGTTACGTTACAGATTTTATAGAAAGATTAGCTATGTTGGAAAATTGGTATCAAAATGGTAAGCCTTCTACTTTTTGGCTATCAGGTTTCTTTTTTACACAAGCTTTTCTTACTGGTTCCATTCAAAACTATGCTCGAGCGAAAAAAATTCCTATAGATTTATTAGTCTTTGACTTTGAAGTTCTTCGTGTCGATTATGCACAAAATCCACCAGAAAGTGGCGTGTACGTTCATGGGCTATTCATGGATGGCTCACGATGGGATCGACAGCAATATTCAATAGGAGAACAATTTCCAAAAGTCTTAAATGATAATATGCCCGCTGTATGGCTATATCCTAAATTAAAAAATGATTTCGACGAAGGTACAAGATATAAATGTCCATTATACAAAACCTTAGAAAGAAAGGGAGTCCTTGCGACAACTGGACATTCGTCAAATTTTGTATTGGCTTTTTACTTACCTTCGGATAAACCTTCAGCTCACTGGATAAAACGCAGTGTTGCTCTTATATTACAATTAGACCATTAGACATAAACTTTTTTTAATTAACTTGTTTCGATTTATAACCAGCGTGGTGGACTACGGCCTGATCCCCCTCGTATTGAAGGGAGGCCCGTTCCCAGCAATGGGACGTTAAAAAGGACTGAATAATAATAATAATAAATATAAGTCCATATCGGGATAAAATATTTTATAGGCCTTTGAAAATTTATATCAATTTCTGCCAATTTCATATTCAATTCTACTTTAAACTATTAATAGGAACATTCATTCATATACCGGCGTTGTTGAAAACTTATTCTGTTATTAGTAATATTTTTTATTGAATCCTTTAATTGGTTAAAAGTTATAACAATTAGTATACCTACATATATACATTATCATTTTTTATTTTTTATTCTGTTTTAACATCGTAATAGCATAAATAAAAAAAAACAATTTTGACTATAATATAGATTGCTTGCCATAAATAATTGTTTGTTTGTAAATTGTTTATTTAAAAATAATTTAACAAAAATGTACCCTTAAAATACCCAAACAAAAAATTATTTATAATTAAACAATTTACGGACAAACAATTATTTATGGCGAACTATTAATCAAAAATGTACCCTCAAAGTAACCTTCATCCCGCAAGATTTTGCATAGTTTCTATACGATAGTGGTTTCATTTATACTTTATGTATATATAAATTTTTTTCAATGCCTATTCACATACTTATTGCATAGTGTGTTCCTATTTCTTACATACACAGGAAAATTGATCTCATATATGGAGATTAAATTTTAAAAATAGAATGTGAGCGGTGAGATAGCGGCGTGATTCATTATCTGATCTGGCAGTTTATTTTAATATGTTAAATAATTTATTATTGTACATTATTTTATAGTTTTTTTATGGTAATGATATTAACTTAAATATTATAGTGAAAAGCAATTTAGCTACAAATCTATTAAATTTTAACGATAGAAATAAATTAATTATAATTTTTAAGGCCTTTGAGATTTTGAGATAAACAAACGCAATATTTTACTAAAATTTTAATTTTTAACGTAAGAAATAATATGTTGCGCTTGCTTATGGTTTCTCTTTAGAGTTTAGACTTAAAGTTTTATTTTAATTTACATTAATAATTAACCTACATATATTTAGTATTCTATTTGTATTACTTCGGATCATTACTAATGTTATCAATAAATTATTAGGATCTTTCCCAGTATTTTAATTAGATATACCTCGATTACCCTTAATATTAAAACTAAGTACTAAGTAGTTAGTATTTACGGCCTATGTTAAATGTATGTAAATAATAATGTTACATCTGCTGGGTTTTACCGATGTACCTATAATACGTACATATTTATAGATATTGTTGCACTATGTTGATTCTTATCTCTTTTAAAGTAGGTAAACCCACTTATGTCTATCTAGTTGTATAGGTATATCTATTATAAAAATATGTAGGTAATGATTTGGTGTTCCTATAAGTAAGAGTAGCGAGCAGTTCTGAATGAAATCTAAATGTAAATAATATACTATACATAATATGTAGGTCTTAAAAACTTATTTACATATAGGTACAATTATTATAATGTTACAAAGAAGTACTTATTGTACTACTTACCGTTGTCTTTGTTTTGAACCGACGTGTAATGATAATCGACATTGTAATAGGCACTACTTGATTTTTGAAGTATTTTAGTCATAATAAAATCAATTGTAATTGCGATCTATTTAATATTTTTTAAATCGTTAAAAATCATGTCTGATAAGTTAAATTTCTGTTACGTACTGAACGCGTTGTTAATATCAATGTAAAATGATAAGCTTATCATCATTCATTCTATTTAGCTAAACACTCAGTGTTAAATTACATAGAAGAGAATTTATTTGATAGATAACAAAATATTTAAACTATTGTTCTACAAATATTTACAATTTTCTTAATAATATGCGAGAAAAAAGTTTTGAGCTTATGTATTTTATTGGATCAGCTTGTTTGTCTAATTTGAAATTATAGTTCGTTTATTTAAAAGTTAATATAATATTATTACACAGAATTAAATTGAGAGTTCAGGCAATAATAATAATGTCCTTTATTTCCAAAAGGTAGTAAGTACATCCAAATATTTGCTTAACACTTACTAAATCTAATTTGGTAAGTACATACAAATATTTAAAACATAGCATCTGCAGCCGAACTAGGAGACCTGTGCTCAGCTGTCAGCGCTATATCCCCGCGGTTAGGGGCTGCAGTTTAGAATTGGGGACGTGGCCCCTGGCGGAGTGGGTGGTATTTCTGGATAAGGGACGTGATAGGGAGTCGAAATGTTAAATATTTTTTTTAATACAACAAAAGAGTCAAAAGTTATTGAGACTTAAAGTTATAACATTTCCATACATTATTTTGACATTACTACCATTTAGACACTTGGAGTCAAAACGTCACTTTCAATTGTCAAAATGATCTCCAGATGATTGTCTTTATTTGTACTTTGCGTGAAATTCGAAATTTCTAGTTTTCTAGTCATTTATGGCACTCGCCGGCCAATGTTCTAACCTAACCTAACCCAGATATGAGGAATAATAAATAAATAATCTTAAATGTTCTAACCTAACCTAACCCAGATATGAGGAATAATAAATAAATAATCTTAAATGTTCTAACCTAACCTAACCCAGATATGACGAATAATAAATATATAATCTTAAATGTTCTAACCTAACCTAACCCAGATATGACGAATAATAAATAAATAATTAAAAATATTCACAGATAAAAAAATGATTTTTTTTACTAAATGTACAATTGTAAAACAATATAGTTTACATAAATCAAATAAAAAGTCATAAATGTATTTATAAAGTGAAAATAATATTTTTCTTTTTATTTATTTATTTATTGATTAATAGTAATATTTTACCAACAGAAAAAGCAAAAATAATCAAATATAATCTGTTGTCATTTAAGCGGTAATATAAAACAAAGTGTCAGTTTTGCTTTTGTCAAAATGTAAGATCATTTTGTTTGTGTTGTGAAATTATTAAAATATTAAATACAGTAAAGCATTAATTGTTGTGAAAATATGTATTGTACATAAAAAAGGATGCGTACTATTCGTTAAAGGTATGTTTATCTGTTGTAATCACTTATTTAGGTAAAGAAATGTATGGAAATGTGTTAGATATGTTATAACTTTAAGTCTCAATAACTTTTTACTCGTACGTTTCCTCCAAATATTTTTAATATATTTTGACTCTCTGTCACCTCCCCTATCTAAAAATACCACCCACTCCGAATGGTGGTAAAGAAATATATGAAAATGTATGGAAATGTTGTAACTTTAAGTCTCAATAACTTTTGAATCTTTTGTTGTATTAAAAAAAATTATTTAACATTTCGACTCCCTATCACGTCCCTTATCCAGAAATACCATCACTCCGCCAGGGGCCACGTCCCCAATTCTAAACTTGTGCCCGGTTTAGGTTACATAAATATAACCAAAAAAAATATGTTATCTTTTTCTCTCAGAAAACGTATGACATGCGTAGCATCTCTTTAAAGTTTGTGCATATGACGCTAAGCCCGGCCGCATATAAGATTTTTTCTCTCCGAAAAATTCTGACGCCCGCCGCGACGGAAGGTACTTTGTTCATATGTTTTGGTCTAGACCCCGCATATTATCAGAATCATGGATGACAAATAAAAATAAATGATCAGAGTTCTGATAATCTGTTTGACATCCGCTTCTGATGAGTCCCGAACATAGAGTATAACTAGTATAATATAACTTTTTGTCCCGGAATCCGAATGAAACGTTCTGACGTCAGATTTTTTTCTGATCGGAACGTCGGAGGGAGGGGTCTATGTGAAATTAAAAAAAATATGTTAAAATTAATTACATTACGGAATTTAAACGCGTGAATTCACCTTTAATCCCTGTAATTTGCGTTTAAGTCTCGTAGAGTAATTATTATATAATTATGGAACGCGAAATGTTAAAGAGAATAATATATAATTTTAATTTAGTTTACTATTATAAAAAAAAATGAAAATATTAGGCAATACTACTAATACATAGATTTACAAATGAAAGATATTAATTTGAAATACTGTAATTTTAGATAATAAAGTCTACATGTGTAAGTAGTAAATGGTTATGTTAAATAGTTTATGTTTATATACTTCTGTTTAATTTAAATTTTAAAAGTTTTACTAGGCGCATCACTATTCACCCGCTTCATCTATAAGTATGTATCTATAGGTGTGTATAGAACATCTGCTTACGTTTCGCATAATGGACCATGAGCGATACGGGGCTCTATAGCATTTGTATACTCTAAAGTTTGTCATCCATGCTCTAAAGGTTTGAAGGCTGAACATTTGACACTAGACCAAAAAGTACCTACTTGTACTATTTGCACTTAGCAACAGATTTAAAAATGAATATTTTTATTTATATAGGCTTAAATAATGTACCCTTTAAATTATAATAAGAAATAATTGAGTTTATTCATTAAATAGTTTACATTATTTTTATATATAAAACATCTAAAGGATGAATGCTATTGTGTGTACCAACTTTTTTTTTCAAATACCAGCTTTTAGTGACATCTGTACCAGGTTTACTGGGCTTTAGATTTTATCTAACATCCCTGGAGTGTCCTGTCACCTGTGTCATTAATCATTATTGCAATTGTCAGTTTATTAATGCAATTGTCAGTTGTCAGTTGTCACTTGTCACTCATCAATGTCAATTTTCAAAAGGTTTCGTAGAATATTGTTGTTGTTATTTTTTTTAGATTACAAGTTAAAAACCTTAGTTTTATTATTCATACTGAAGTGTAAGTGCTATTTTTAAATTCTTTTTTGTATATTGTACAATACAATGAATGACATTTTAAGACCAGAGCTAATATGGATAGAAGGACGATGTTACAGAGTAAACGATCCGACCGCAGAAATTTCAACATTACAGGAACATGATTTATATGAAAATGGTTTGTGTTCACATGTATAATATACCTACTATATTTTAATAATTTATAGCTCGTCTTTTATAAACGGGTCTGTAGACTCGTTTTTTTGTGAATAGTTAACTTATTATCTTGTCTCGTGTAAACAAAGTTTCAATGGAAGAAATAAATTAGGTTTTACATATTAGTATACTCTTACAATGCAGTTTCTGTATTTTTTCTCAGAAATGAGATATTTTCCCGCGGTAAAAAGTATCCTATATGTTGAACTGGATACCTGCTATCACCATATCAAATTTCATCAAAATCCCTCCAGTGGTTTTTCTGTGATGCGGTAACAGACAGACTGACAAAAAATTCCAAAAACTATAGATTCGGCCTCTGTATCGATAATAATGTCTATTTCAATAAGATTTTCCAAAAAATATTTAATGTACAGATCGGCTTAGTTACAATTTTATTATATGTATAGATGAATCTATAATATGACTAACCTGTGTCTTTTATACCAGATATGCCTTATAATGATATTGATGATGAAGATGACATTGATGATGACTATGAAATATCCCAAGTTGACAACAATAGATACTGTACAAGACTCCATGTTTCCAAGTATGTGCCCTGTATATTTACTTAGTAACTAGTAATATCAAAAAAAAAATGTAATGGGGTCAATCTTGAACATAGTAATGTTGTGGGCCAATTTTTATTTCTATTCACACTGAATCTGCATGTAAAATATTTTTTAGTTTTCTTTTTTAAATGAATTTCATACATTTTATTTATTAAAAAATGTTTAAACTAGTATTGGTAAAACATACCTTGTATATTAAACTCCATGTGTGGCAGACATTGTGTGTTTAGACATGTATCTTTGGAAGCAAAAGCAACCTTCTATCCAAGATATATCTTCTTCTCTTTTATTGTGGCTCTACAAATTCAAGCTCCTTGACAGATTTAAATTGTAAATGGAAGCTGAGAAGGCTTATTTTTTATTTGAAACCCTTACTGCATAAGTGAAATTTTAAATCTTTATAACTCTTATAATCACCCTTTAGGGTAATGTTGTTTTATTATTAAAAAGTAAAAACACATGCCTTTCAAACAACTTACAGTACTCTTAAATGATTTAAATTCATCTCATATTAAATTATTACATGATTGACATCTTTTACAGACACTATATGGGATTTGTAATAGGAAAGAAAGGTGCTACAGTTGGAAGAATTAGAAGGGATACGAGGACAGATATCAAGATACCTAAGCAAGGTGAAAATAATGATATCACCATTTATGGATCTAGCATATCAGTGAGTAAATTATTTCCAAAATACTTCAACAAATTGTTTTATTGTTTTCGAAAAGATATGTTATTTAGTTTCAAAATTAAAAGTAAATACCCCACATATTTTCAATAACATGTATGCTTATATTTTTGAGAAATCCGTAAGTATTATCCCTTTACGACCGAATGAATACGAGCGTGACATTTGGTAAAAAAAATTCTAATTCAAAATGTATTTGTTTTTGTGAACGCAATCGGCCTCACACGATAATGTTGATACATACGCTTTATTCAAAAATTAAAAGGACACGTTGTAACGTATCCAGTGGTCGAAGGACCGTCGACAAAGATGGCAGCGCATTTTGGACATGGGTCTCGATCACATAAGTACATTTTTTTACTATATTTTTCATAGCTTGACATCTTTTTTTGTTATTAAAGTTAAATGTAGATAATAATTAACACAAAGCCGTAATTTGTATTTTGATAGCATCGTTGTTCTTTTGTTTGTGATCTCTTAAACTTATATCGTCACGATCGTGACAATCCGGGTTTCAATTCATTAATAATTACGAAAAACGTATTTTTTCTAAAGCTGCTTTTTGACAGTACATGTAAAGTTTTATAATTTTATACTAATTTTAGGCGCAGTTTTGAGGAATGAAGAGGTTTTAGACCTCTTGCAAAATACATATGCTCTATGATATTGAGGTGCTGCACGACGAAGGTGAGGAATTTGATCGTTTCCTTTTTCAAAAATTTAGTGATGAATATCATCCAGAATGTTTCTCCAGCACATTGGGAACTGTCTTCTGATGAGGTAATTACTGAGAATATGTCTGTTCGTTATTTGGTACGTGGAGGCAATCATCCTTTACTGATAAAGATCAAAATTACCCAAGACCACCCTCAGGACCTGTCAAGACATCTAGTGAGTATATTTATGACTATTTTGATAAGGAATTCATCGAACTGGTTGCTGGTTGCTCCAATATTTACGACCTACGTAAAAACGGAAGATAATAAAGCTATATTGATGGCGTCCAATTGTACTGGTGCTAAACATCAAGACTACGTTAAACAATGGGACAAACAAACAAACAAACAAAATCTTACAAGGATAATATTATTCCCAGGGTAGTTAGCAATTATATTAGACACATGGGTGGAGTGGATGTTTTAGATCAAATAATGGATTAATAGCGTACCTTCATGAAAAAGAAAAAGTGGAATCTGAAGGTAATAATTCATATTTTGGATTTAGCTATAATTAATGCATGGCGGAAGTAAAAAATAGATTGTGAAGCTAATAAACTTCCGAAAAAATATATTAGATCTTCTGAACTTTAAAATGGAAGTAGCAGATGCTTGGTTGAGTACTCCAGACCGCAAATGCCGATTGAGTCAAGACACAGATACTGAAAATGAGGCACCGCCTTTCAAGTATATGCCAGCAAGATATTGGAGAGTAAGCAAGCAAAGAGATATGATGGATATGATCATCTGCCAACCTTTGCACAGTTATCGGCTCAACGTTCCTGCAGATTAGAGTCATGCACAAATAGAAGCAAAATTCGTTGTGTAAATACGATGTTTACTTGTGCATGTCGCAGGGAAAAGATTATTTCCGATTATACCATGCGAACTGAAATATCTAATAATTTTATTTGTAACATACAAATAAAATTATTAGATATTGCAGTTGATCTCAAAATTGTTCCTATTATGTTAGTTATTTTTATATTTTCAAAGATTTAATCTAATTTATATACTGAAGTTGTTTACATTATATAATAAATACAAATATAGATAAGTTTAATACATATAAGTATAATTAAACCAAAAATATATGCTGAATTATAAAGACTTATGTATAGATTACCAAATTATTTAATCACGGATATAAATAAAGTTTATTATACTAGATTTTTATTTCATTAACCCAGCTGCTTCTTAAAAAATCACCATCGTGCGGAAGTCAATTTAATCCTGATCGTCACGATCGTGAGGGTACTTTTTTTAAAAAATGGGGGGTACGCAATTTTTTTTGATATTTTTTTTAGGTTGTTTGAAGCCTAAATAACTAGAATACATAAGTCATACACGAAAAAATAAAAAAAAAGTTCGCCGGTTGTAAAGGGTTATTATATATAATATTATAAATGTGAAAGTTTCTGAGTATGTATGGATATCTGTTACACTTTCACACTAGAACGGCTGAACGGATCTGGATGAAATTTGGTACAGAGATAGATTATAGTATGAAATAACACATAGGCTACTTTTTATTCTGAAAAAATGTATGGTTCCTGTGGGAAAGGTTTGTTTTGTCATCCTAGAGGTGAACCCGAGCAAAGGCGAGGGTGAGTCGTTAGTACTCATATTATTGATATCTTATATAATTGTCATTTTGTCCGTTGTAATTAATCTGCACAAAGGTACATAAATAAATTGTACAGGCAAAACTACCATATTTTTTTATTAATATATTATGCAATTTAAAAATAATGTTTCTAAAATTTGATAACTTAAATGTTTTTGTTTGTAGAATGTTAAAGCTGCTAGAAGAAGAATCAACATAATTGTTATGTCATCTCGTATGAAGCAACCAAGTACACATTTCGTATCTATTCCTGTGAATGATACAAATATCAGGAATAATTTTGAAAATTTTAAGGTTCGATAACTTTCTTCATAATTAAATAGTGGAAAACTAATTATTGATAACATGATAACATATGTTAAATTATTTAAGTTGTATAAATGTGACAATGAGATTGTTTTTTGTCTCTCAATGTCTCAACACAATTTGCTTCTGTATTTGTACATTGGTTACACTTTTATATAACTAAAAATATACTGTCTATTGAGAATCACTAGAGAGCGCCTGGATAGATTTGGCTCATCTTGTTTTATAAATGTTCATAATAGAACGAATATGATTTTTTAGTTGAAAAAAATTAGAAATGTTATGTGGAAAATTGGGAATTTTGTAAGAAACTGAAAGGACTTTTTTCTATACAACATTTGTATCAACACAAAGTTTATAAATTTTGTTGCAATTAATCTTATTTTGTCGACCTAACCGTCTGCGCCCCTTCTCTCGTGCCTCCATATTTAAAAACTCCAATAGGATCCCATCAAAAGCGACAAAAGCCACATAGAAACCAATACATATTTCACCAATACATTGGTTTCTATGTGGCTTTTGTCGCTTTTGATGGGATTCTATTGGAGTTTTTCAACAGGGCTCCGTCTTTCTATGCGACATTGGTGAAATAATCAATGCTAAACATAGCTAGCTTAGCGTAGATTACAAGAAAATTGAAGTGAAAATTAATAAAAGCGGCTCCGCCCGCGGTCAATATGACCAAAACCAAAATTCTTAGGTTTTACATATTAGTATACTCTCTTACAATGCAGTTTTTGTATTTTTTCTCAGAAATGAGATATTTTACAGCGGTAAAAAGTATCCTATATGTTGACCCAGATAACCAGCTATCAACATACAAAATTTCATCAAAATCCCTCCAGTAGTTTTTCTGTGACACCGGTAACAGACAGACAGACAAAAAATCTAAAAACTATAGATTCGGCCTCTGTATCGATAATAATGTTTGTTTCAATAAGATTTTCCAAAAAATACTTAATGTACAGATTCGGCTTAGTTACAATTTTATTAAATGTATAGATTAAGAATTAAATTAGCGAGCTATATATACATAGACAGACAATTATCTTATTATAATAAGCAGGGTTTGCTTATTTAGTATTATAACAAATATTATTTATTTATTTTAGGAATCAGTGCTGCAAGAATGTTCCAATTCAGGATTAGATGACTCTTTATTTATACGAAGTGAGAAATTGCATTTGACTGTGGGAATGTTGTGCTTAATGGATAATGAAGAGCGAATGCAAGCTTCCGAATTACTTATGGAAGCTAAAGAGAAATATATTATGTATGCTTATCTTACTAGCTTAAAAGTACATTATAGGGGCTTATATATTTATTAGTTTTTATCAATATAGGTTTCAATATTTTTTAACTAAAGGCTCTATTGATTTTATTGTGTACTAAAGTTATACTTCTTTTGGCACGTTTGGAAAAAAATATGAGAGTAAAATTTTTACGTTGCGCGCGCACACCGACAGCCAATAGCAAGCGACATGATGAAATTAGCTGCATTCCTTTCACAAACAGAGAGTTGTGATGTACGGGATGAAATGTTTAGCTATTTTTGTTCTGTTACGCCAAAGAAGTATAACTTCTTACGTGTGTACATAAGTACACACACACACACGTTTTTTTTTATTATTGGGTTTTGATTGTCCAGATAATAGTGTAAATTAATAATAATTTACTTCAGTTTCATTGAAAATGAATAAATAAGTTCCATGATACAACTTTTCGACACTCCATATATAAAGCAACATTATTTTGACCTACTTTAAATAATGTATGATTTCTTTCACATATGTTAGTCACTATACATGTGGCTTTATAAAAAAAATTAATGATCCTTTATTTTAGTAAACCAAAAAAGTAGTTCCAAGTAAACAAAAAATACCCCAATCCCACTAATGATATATTTATTTGATTTTAACATGCTCTTAAAGTTTTTATACCTTTTTAATCTTATTGTGCTTTATATATATCTTATGTATTATATATATATCTTATGTATTTATAAAAAAATTAATAAATATACATCACAGTACCTGTCTAGAGCTGCAAGCAGTAGCTGTTATTTTATATTTAGGTACATTAACTAATATGTACAGTATAGTAGTATGTACAGTATACTATACATAATCTCGTTCCTCTTACATACTTAAAAACATTACATATTTTAAAGTGCCCCTTGGGCTAGCGACTAACATATCAAGCTCTGTTCGGTTCGGTTCCTGGGTGGACCAAGTATAGTTATGGAGTTTCTGTCTAAGAATTCTCAGTGGCAGCCCGAAGTTGGGTTTTGACGGTGTTTCACCCGCGGGCCTCCAAGAGCACCTAAACGTGTCAGTCCTGCGTCTGATCTCACACTAGTCGTGTCGACTGAGGGCCGTATATCGGTCTGATAAAGTATTGTTATACAAGAAACAATGAGTGCACTATCAGTAAGACTCACGTTCCGGTCGAATCACGCTCCAGCAACGTTTCTTGTATAAAAATACTCTACCAGACCGATATCAGAGCGAGAACGGACTGTGATCGGCACTATAGTGTGGAGCGGCCCTTATTTATCTACCGGAATTGGAAAGTGAAGGAAATCAAAACTATACGAGGAGTGCACTTGTATCGGCGCATATACTTGTGATACATCTATTCTATACAGATAAATAAAATTGAAGGGTCTGTTTGTAATGTCAAAATAACAGCTTTTTACTAAATGCAGAAAGCATATACGGTAGTAATAAGAAAAATATATAAATGCAGAAAGCATATACGGTAGTAATAAGAAAAAACAATTTAATTTTTTTCTCTGTGTGTTCCGGCTAATCTCTGAAATGGCTGAACCGATTTTGACGGAAATTTCAGTGGCAGATAGCTGATATTAAAAGGAGTAATTATTTTTATGATAGAAAAAAAAATCAGGGTTCCGCGCAAAAAAAATAAAACCTATGATATTGTGAACAAAATCACGTACCCAATGACGCACGCACCCGAGCGAAGCTAGGGTAAGCAGCTAGTATATAATGACTTTGGCGAAGGGGACTGGTTTCACTGAGATAGACCGTGACCGAAGTCTGTAATAAGGACATTAATTATCACTTAAACCTACTATTTACTAAATGTTGTAAAAATATTGTTTCAGCCCTATACTTCAAGACTATTTGCCACTTAATGTAAGATTAAAAGGTATATCGTATATGAACGACGATCCTAAACAAACCCATGTGTTGTATGCCCGCGTGGAAGAGGCGAATGCACCGGCCGGCTTGTTGCAGAGAATGGTGGACGCGATCGTACAACACTTTTATAGAGCAGGTATTGAATTGTCTAAACTACTTAAGAAAGAGGTGTACGTAGATAGATTTTAGTTCAAAAATTATCTATATACAGATAAAAAAATTGAAGTGTCTGCTTATAATGACTAGTACCTGGGCCACCGAGCTTCGCTGAGCTTCGCTCGGAGTTTTTGGTTAAAAAGTACAATTTTCTTTAAAAAAAAAACTAAAAACTTGAATAAATACAAAAAACAAAAATAAATTATACCTTTGTATCCGACCAGAATTCGAACCCGGACACCTATGACTGTCAACCTGGCGTCTTTAAAAAAAAAACTAATAACTTGAATAAATATTAAAAAATTTCTAAAGTAAAAACTTTGTATGCGACCGAGATTCGAACCTGGACACCTGTGATTGTTGATCTTGCACCTTGGCCGCTTGAACACGATGCTTATACCTGAGCGTGCAATTTACCGACCATATTTTTGCGTGCATATCAAAAGAAAACTGCATGAAAACTCGAAAACACGCGTTTTCTCAGACATAAGACTAATCTAGATCGATTTTTCGCCCCCAAAACCGGATACTAAATTTCATGAAAATCGTTGGAGCCGTTTCCGAGATTCAGATTATATATTGATATATAAATATATATACAAGAATTGCTCGTTTAAATATATTAGATAACAGCTTTTTACTAAATGCATATAAAATTATATACAGTACTTATAACAAAAACACAATTTTTAAAATTTTGATCTGTCTGCTGATCTGACGGCTGGACTGATTTTGACGGGACTTTCACGGGTAGACAGATGATGTTATAAGAAGTAATTTGGCTACTTTTATTTTAGAAAAATAATTAGGGTTCCGCTCAAAAAAATTAAAACGTACCAAGGGACTACACGCTAGTATACATCTATACTATTGTACTTATTTTAATAATATACCACATATTATATAGGTATATTAAAAGTTATACTGTATTTCATCGAAAACGAAACGGTAGTTGAGGTTTGATTCATATTTGAAATGGAAACTTTTGTATTATTTTTTAATTCTGTTCATTTTAGACAGGTACAAATATTTGTTTGAACATATGTACATAGAGGCAGTTATGTGATCAAAATACAGGGCGGGATATAAAATTCTGAGAGCTCCCAATTAGTGCAGGCCTCTAATAATATTATAGAAGAAAATTAAATAAATTTCCTTTATAGAAATAAAAAAAAATTGGCACACGAGCACTAGTTTAGAACATCTAGAAAAGTCTATTGCGATTTGCGTGAGCCTGGCTTGCTTGGAGCCCTCTAGACTGCAGCACTATATTGCCTAAATCCGGTTCTAAACCAAATAAAATTAAGGTTTTTTTTAAACTAAATTCTATTTGGTATAGAAAGAAATATCGTAAAGCAGTATTGCAGTTGGAAAAATAAACTCCCATTTAATAGAACGTTCCCGAAGGTCATACGAGAGCCCTCGAACGTACTTTCGGTTCCGGTCGTAAAATATCGAACTTGAGCCAAAACTCGAATTATGCGACAAAGCTTACTAAAAAATAAGTCGAAAGTTCTGTTGGAAAATATTAGCCAATTAGCTTGGACACTATTAGGACACTATTAGTCACCGCAAGCCGCACAAGGTTGTTTCGATATTACATAGAAATGGAGAATAATTCCTATAACAGTTGAATTTATTATTTAATTATATACTCTACTTGATGACATAACATTTTCAAAACTTTTAATGTACTATTTTGATCATAATATTATGTATGTACATGCCACGCCAATGATGAAACCAATCTAAAATGGCGCCTGGGACCTGGGTACAATAGTGTGCAAGTGAGAGAGTATGATCGACGCCGCCATTTTTTTGTCGCGGGTTATATACATAGATAACCAGAAAAATAAAAATGATTGTTTACAATTTACACTAGTATTTACAATTTACACTTTTTTTAAATGCAATATTAAAGTCCTATAAATAAAAAAAAGAGTTATTAGTCGCAAAATACTTGTTTGTTTAATTTTAATTCTTATATACAAAACTATTTTAATACATTTTCAGGTCTCATGGAAAAGGAATTTGGTCGGGATAGTGTGAAAATGCACGTGACACTAATGAATTCCAAGTACAAAGCGGAAAAGAAAGACTTAGAAGAAGACAGTCCTAGGAGAAGACCAAGAGAATCGTTTGATGCTTCACAAATCTTAGAAAGATTCTCAGATTATGACTTTGGTGTAACGCAATTGAATGACATACACCTGTCTCAACGTCACTGTATGGGGCCGGACGGATATTATCAATCTACGTGTATTATTTCATGTAATAAGCAATAAATTTTTATATGTTAATTTTTTTGTTTTATTTTTCATCTATACTAGTATTATAAAGAACCAGAGTTTGTTTGTTCGTTTGTTTTTGTTTGTTTGTATATTTGTTTGTTTGTTTGTTTGTTTGTTTGTTTGTTTGTTTGAAAACAACAATCTCAGGAATTACTATTCCGATTTGAAAAATCTTTCTTCATTAGATATCCCGTTTATTCAGGAAGGCTATACATTACTTACTTCTATACATTATTGTAAAACTGATGTTTATATTGGATGTTTGAACGCGGGCGAAGCCGCGGATACTGTTGGTGCTGTTGATAATGGCTGAACCGATTTGGCAAAATTATTTTTTTTGGCAAATGTTCGCAATTTAGTAAGATTTTAGGGAAAATGAATAGGAAAAACAAGCAAGAAAATAAAGCAACTTGTATAAAATTTGAGAGTACTCTTTATTTGAGGAAAGAAGAGCTTGTTTTTTTGTACTTCGAACGCGGGCGAAGCCGCGGGTTCTGCTAGTATAATATTATTATCAGCGTTCAACACAACTTTGTTACAAATTTACAATACAGTAATTATTTTAAATTGTAATTACGGTGTTTTAGTTATATGCACATAATATGTTCACCTTAAGACAAATGATAAAAGCGAAATCATAAATTTACTTAGAAAAGTTTGGTAGGTACGGTGCAACAGACACACACGTTAAACTTATAACAATCCTTTGCGACAGGGAGAAAAGAAATGAAAAGTAGGAAACTTATTCACAAACGCGTGGGCCGATTTTGATGATTCATTATTATGTTCTTAGAATTGTCTTGATAACGTGAGTGTCATAGGCTATAATAAAATAGTTAAAGATTAAAATGGCGGATTTCAGGCGCTAATTTATGTGTTTAAAAAAACTTCCAAACCAATCGAGTGAGGTACCAAATTAAAGGTTTTCTAAGAGGTGATCACAGAAATATATGAATACAACTTCTATTATGTTTAAAAGTAATTTAGGTTATAAAATAGAACTAAATATAATTTCAAAGTATATATTATAAATTAAAAAACCCGACTGCTTATAGCTAATTAAAAAGGTGAAAACAAGTTGACGAAGGAATATAGTATTATATTTTTTTATTCTGTGATCAAGGTACTAGTTATTACCAACACATCTAAAACGGATGTGTTGGCGAAAGGGTTTACACTTATACCATTAATGAAACTCATATCATAAATAAAGATTAATTATTAAACTCTTCACATGGGGAAAATTTTGTATAAGTATGTAACTTCATTTTATTTTTCTGCTTTAACCTCCATCTTGATCGAAACTCGATTTCTTTAGAAATATGTACCTACTAATAAGTAATTTACATATTACATACTAGCGACTCACCCTCGCTCCGTTCGGGCTCGTCCCTACTTACGTTTTAACGTTTAGTATAGATTTCTCAGATGTGAGATATTTCCCCGCAGTAAAAAGTATCCTATATGTTGACCCGGATAACCAGCTATCATCATACCAAATTTCATCAAAATCCCGTCAGTAGTTTTTCCGTGATGCGGTAACAGACAGACAGACAGACAAAAATTCTAAAAACTATAGATTCGGCCTCTGTATAGATAATAATGTCTATTTCAATAAGATTTTCCAAAAAATATTTAATGTACAGATTTGGCTTAGTTACAATTTTATTATGTATATGTATAGAACAAGTGAAGTCAAAGACACTAACAAAACTTCTTCCTGACCTGTATATAAGAGAGATGAGAGTCAGTATAGTAAATAGTAATAGCTTTAAATATACATAGACGATAAAATTGAACTTTACATTTGACTTTATAAATACTTAGTTGCAAACATTTAAGCTGATATTGGCAGACAAAGAGTCAAGGTCATATATCATATCATAAAATGTTCTTTTCATGGTAAAGAAAGATTTTGGCATTATTTAATTAGCCACTTAAAATTATATTAATATATCTTTTTTGTACGACATATATTTTATATAAGTGATCAAGCTATACTTTCAAACTATATGCGGATATTAATAGACCAGAATTATACAGAATAGATAATAAATAATAATTATACAGTCCTTATGTATGTTTTAAATTAAAATGGATAAAGTATGTTATCCTTAAGAGATAGACATGTGCCAACGCGGACTTTTCTGTAGATCTATATAAGATACACAATTCTATCATACATTATTTTGTTATATCTCAAAGGGTTTAGTTTTAACAAATATCGTTATATTTTAGCCAATGTATACAAAAACTTAACAAATTATATACTAAAACCATCCTCTTGAATCACTCTATCTATTAACCCTATTCTTGGCATGGTGGATAATTTGATACGTTGAACTTTTTGAAAATCTGGAGACGTTCCGAGACGTATTTTAAATTTTTTTATTATTTAACAAGCTACAAAATATAATACCAAATCCACAAAAAAATACTATTTTATTACTTGCAACACGGAAATTGCAGTCGAAAACAAGATGGCGAATCGATCGAGGACGTCTGCGCATCGCAAGGTAAAAATAATTATTTTTTGTTATATTTTGCTTAAATTAATTCCAAAAACGTTGTAATTCAAGTCGGTTACAATATTTATTAGTCGGAAACGCTATTTTCGAGTAACAATCTGGATGGAAATCGTATGTAATCAACCGTTTTTTTCGAGTGTATCAGATATGCCACACTGCCAGATAGCCAACATTCTAGACTATTTTTGTTATGTATCAAATATGTGACACTGCTTGATTTGTATAGATACTATTTATTTATAAATTTTAATATTATAATAATATTTTAAATTATTATTGCTACTTATATTATTGTGTTTTGTATTTTTCAGCCACAGATACATCAGCTTAGTATACAACAACAAAGAAGAGCTCGGCATCTTGTGGCTCTTGTTCCGAAGCCGGGGGCAAAATCGGATTTGGATGACAGTGAATCATCTGCTGAGGATGAATTGCAGTACTGTCCCCGCCCAACGCACTCCGACAGCAGTTCACCGCCTCCATCGTTGCCATCTTCGATAGAAAATCTAAATCTTTTATCAGATGACGACAATGAGATAAATCAAGTGGTTGCTTCAACATCTTTGGTGTTACACTCACAGTCATCGCTGTCAACCAACCCATGTTCACCATCAATTTTATCGTCCAACCCATCCGCAATAAGGCAGCTTCAGTGTGCTGAGGCAAGTCCTTTGTCTCCGGTACCACCTTTATTAGATCAGGTATGTTTACCATCTCCATTGGCAACCTCTTCGCAAAAACATTCACCATTGGCAACCTCTTCCCAAGTACCTTCACCACTGGCAACCTCCTCGCAACTACCTTTACCACGAGCCAGTAACTTGACGTGTCATAACCAGGTACCGTCTCCATTGTTTGCACCTTCTCCCTCAGCGGCTACTCGATCAAAAAGACCTAGAGTGGTCACGATAAAACGAAAAGTAATACCTGCTAAAAGATTACAACCTAATTGGCGTTGCTGTAAGTTTACCGGTTCTGCAGAAGTGAAAGATATCTCGTTTGAGCCACGTGAAGAGAAGTGTGCCATTGAATATTTCAAGCTGTTCTTTTCAGATGACATCATCTCTCTCATAGTGCAACAAACAAATATCTATAGCACACAGACAAATGGCAGCTCAATAAATATCACAGAAGATGATATCAAAGATTTTCTGGCGATCCTTTTATTTACGGGGTCGTTAAAATGCACGCTTATACAAATTATTGGTCCAAAATTCTACGATACGACAAAGTAGCAGATATAATGACTCTGAAGAAGTTCCAGTTACTGAGGCGATATATACATTTCAATGATAATTTTATTGACGACGACGATAGATATCACAAAGTTAGACCACTTCTTCAAAAAATCCGTGAAAATTGTCTAAAAGTAGAAGAAGAGTCGCGTTTCAGTATTGATGAAATGATGGTTCCACATAAAGGAACTAGAGCAGGCAGCCGTAAGCAGTATGTAAAAAATAAACCGAAAAAATGGGGATTCAAAATATTTGTTCGCGCTGGTGTCTCTGGAATAGTTTACGACTTCCTGATCTACGGAGGAGACGACACATTTAGATTTAACTCATTCACAGATGAAGAAAATGGTATGGGCCTGGGATCAAAAGTAGTTCTTGCGCTAGCGAAATCCATTCACCAGCCTGCATACAAAGTCTTATGCTTTAATAACTTCTTCACTTCTATTGAGCTCCTGCAATATTTACGTAACGAATACGGGATTTTCGCACTGGGAACAATCCGATCAAATAGGCTTCGAGGAGCGGAAAAAAAATTACCCACGGATAAAAATCTAAAAAAAAGCGGCAGAGGATCTCATGCACAAGTCGTATGCAACAAAAACAAGATCGTTGTCGTCAAATGGTACGATAACAAATGTGTCACAGCTGCAAGCACATTTGTAGACGCGCATCCTATCCAGAATGTGGTTCGTTACAAGAAAGCACAAGGAAGAAAAATGCCAGTGACATGCCCAAATTTGATAAAAGAATACAACACCGACATGGGCGGAGTTGACCTGGCAGATATGCTGATTGCTCTGTATCGTACACCATTCCGAGGTCATCGCTGGTATTTACCGATCTTCTCGCAAATGCTTGATATTTGTGTGAACAATGCCTGGCTTCTCTATCGACGTCATAGAGAAGCCAGGCATGAAGCCAAAAAACCCAAGTCGCTAAAAACATTTCGAATAGAAATTTTCGAAAGCTTACGCAGATTTGAGAGAACTAATACAAGCAATATCAGCAGGACTAGCGTCAGCTCAACCAAGACCATACAGAGACCTGTAGCTGAAAGACCCCCAGATGCTGTTCGGTATGATCAAGTTGCACATTATCCAAATGTAACACCTATCAGAGGGAGGTGCATGTATTGCAAGAAAGGGCAAACCAAATTGTTTTGCGAAAAATGCAAAATGAGACTGTGCTTATTGCCGGAACGTAATTGTTTCGTAGAATATCATACTAAGAAATAATACGAGTATAATTTATAATTGTAAGACTGTTAATACTCGTATATATTATGTAATATTTATATTTCATAGTAGATATTCGTGATTGATCTCATTCTACCATTAATTTAGATTTTTATAAGATTCAAAGGCTGTTAAAACTATTACTGTTGATTTTTAACCGACTTATACTAAAAGAAGGTTCTGTTTTTAAAGGTATGTATGGAAGTAGAAAATAATTGTCTTAAATTTTATGTTTCTTTCACGTTAGAATGTAATATTTTGTTTTTTTTTGTTTTGTTATAACTTGTTAAAAGCCTGGCAGAGCGGCAAATATGATACATAGATTTTATAAGGTTAATTTTTAAGAGTCTGGCAATGTGCCTTATGTGATACATTCAATAAATCATAAAATAATAAATATATATTTTTATTTTTATTTTTTCTCCCCTCAATGAATACCTAATAATACATTTTATGTAAAATTTATCAACATTTCATTAAAAAAAATCTTGCCAATTATAGGGTTAAAAAAACCGCATCAAAATCCGTTGCGTAATTTTTAAGGTCTAAACATACATAGGGGCAGACAGACAGCGGGAAGCGACTTTATTTTATTGTATTGTATTTAGCCCTTTTTTTTAACGTCCCACTGCTGGGCACGGGCCTCCCTTCAGTACGAGGGGGATCAGGCCATAGTCCACCACGCTGGCCAAGTGCGGATTGGCGGACTTCACATGTCTTTCGAAAACATGCTAGGTTCTCTTAGAAGTGCAGGTTTCCTCACGATGTTTTCGATCACCGTAAGGCAAGTGGTAATCATGTTAGAAATGATTCGCATATGAAAATATCAGAGGTGCGAGACCCGGGATTTGAACAACAACTCGGAACAAACACTTGGTTTCTCAACCGTGCTTGTTACCACTGGGCTACCACTACCTCGAACCTGTTTTATACTATGTAGTAATTTACAAATATGACTAACAATTAAAATCGGTCAAGTGTGAGTCAAACTTGCACACAAAGGGTTCCGTAACATAATCGTTTTTTTTTAATTTGCATGGTAGTCTTTTTGAGATTCGCCATCTTTGTTTTTTATTATTTGTTATTGTAGCGGAAATAGATTTATATAAACTGTGAAAATTTTAACTACTATACCTATTACGGTTCATGATACCCTCTGACAGACGGACGGACAACGGAGGCTTAGTAATAGGGCTCCGTTTATAGCCTTCGGGCACGGAACCCAAAAAAATAAAAAAATGATACTCGTATTAATTTAAGTAATCATATCAATTACGATAGAGTGATTTATCTATTAAGTTACGTATGTATTTATAAATTTTTTTATAAAATTCATATACAAGAAAATACACACACATTAATATACTTTAGAATTATAAATCAAGCCAAAAGGGCACACAGCGCAATTACAACCCTCTTGGGAAGTCAGAAATTTATAGTATTTACATAGTTATCTTCAGCGTACAGTAATAAACACATACGTGAAAATTAATTGACCTCTTCAAAATAGTTTTTACCACAATCTAGATTTTTTTATATAAGCTATTGACGGGATTTCTTTATACAAAAACGTTTTTTCAGTATTTTTTCCATGCTCACGACGTTTTTCATGAAGACAAAACTCACCCAAATATTAATTATAAGATCATCATTACTTTAACCATATAATACACACCTAATACAACCGTCTCTATATTTTTACTCAAAAATGCAAAAAAACCAATACGCTCCACTTTTTATTATATCCTTATCAACCAGGATTGTATAATTTTACGAATTATTTTCATACAAAATACGCTCAAGGGCAGGTTGGAGTCGCGTACTAAAGGTCACGTTTCTTGCTTTATTTATTGTACTCATTAACCTATTTAACCCATTGTTAAGTACCTACACCACTTAAGAACGTGTAAAGTTATTTAAGAACCAGTACGTATTGTCCTGGGAGATATATAAATAAAATTAATTTACAGTTTAAACAGTCGATAAATATTTTACTTTCTAGTCATATAAAAGTCTTTTTATGTGATATAGCCTTGAATATGATGGATAAACATAAGTAAATATGAAATATAGAGTCCTTGAAAATGATCGCAGTTTTTATTTTATTAGATTATACGTTTTTACTTTTTATCTATTTTTGAATTTTTATTTTATGGAAGTTAAGGTCGTGGGCTATCTTAAACTTCCAAAAGCAAAGTAACTTAAAAATAAATAAAAAATCATCATGCTTCAATCAACATGCTTTTATATTTCAACTCGTAAATTAAGTTACAATGTAAGGCAATCTATTAAAATAACAATAATTCTGCTATTCACAAAATCTGACTATAGCCGCTTGAATGGAACACAAAGTCTAAAATTAAGATTTGTTTACAAAAGCAAGATTATCTGCGGCAGTAAAAGGCTGGGTACCCTCGCTTCGTAACCGCGGCTTATACTGAGCTTATTCGAGTTTCCGTCCGAATGGCTTTTATCGGGCTTTCTCCGAGGTCGCGTATTAGACGCGAAAAATGTGCTTTACATTTACAAAACCGCTCAATTTATTTGTTTATTTGACAAAAGTTATATTCTTACATTAATACAATAATAAAACAACTTTGCTACATAAAATGATACATAATAGATTACAATAAAAAATAAGTTTTTCATTTATTTATTTTCTTTATTTTACATTAAAATATAAGTAATAATGTAATAGACTTATAAAATTAACATAGAAATAATCTTCAACGATAAGCTATTTAACATTTATAAAGCAATCAAATGATCATAAAATAGACGCGCTATCGAACCGATTTAAATGGGAAAGCATAATCACGGATGGTGGTTGGGAATCAGTGTGAAGAGTTTCGTAGCGCCATGGCTACGAGTGGCTACGCGGGCGGGGAAGCGCCAGTACAGACGCAATGGCTACGCGATGCGCCCGCCTGCCGTAGCGCGGTTACGTTCACTACACGGAAAGTGAGAACTGGGAACTACCTGTGTTTTTAGCTAAGCGTATTTAAGCGAAGGTAATATTGCTATAAATAATTTCATTTTTAAATATATATTTTTTATGTTATATTTTCCTTTAATATAATAAGTAATTTGCAGCATTATTATGTACGTTGAGAAATAAGCCCTGAAATTATTTAATTATAATATAAATATAAAATTATAATTGGTTTCCATAATAAATTTTATAAATTTGCTATTTATTTCATTTTATCAATTTAAATTTGAATGTAATAAGGTTGCTAAACGTATTTTCAGTTGCGCTTATAAACATAATTATATTTTTATTATATACTTATTAGTAGTAGTAAGTATTGTATATTGCAATAAAAGATATGAATATTTAACATTTTTCATAGTACATATCAAATTATAGCATGGCTATTATTTAACTCGATAGCATTCCCCGCTCGTAAAAGTTAAAATATGTATTTTATACGCCTTCAACCCCTTCTTGTCCGGTTCTATAACACGTCCGCATTTTACGTAAAATTCTTGTCGAATGCTTTATAGAATAGAAAATGAAGTCCAAAGTCAGTCAGCTTTAGGCAAAATATTTTTATTACGAATATTTTTATACCCAACTATTTTAGGAATAACGACCTTGAAAAATAAATTTAATATATTTGTATAATTATATATTATAATCCATAGTTAGTTCAAGCGTCCATACATAAGTAATAGGAAATGACATCATAAACGATTAATTGTTATCATTTATTGTTTTGAAAGATGCAACTAGGTCAAGGAATTTGCAAACAAATAATACTTTCTCATTTTTGACCTATTTCCCCGTTGTTTACGTAATTTTTATTCAAACATTCTTATATCACAAGTTCTCTGATCATTTCACAATATTCTCTTTGTTCACATGTTATCGTATGAGTGTATCGTATTTACAACAAGCAAAAGAAAGCAATTACTTTAATTATTTTAGTTATTTCGTATGTATTAAAATATACAGTGACTTTTTCACTGTGTATGTGATTCATTATTTTTCTGTCTAGTACAAAAATTACGTGATATATTCACAATTTAATTATAATTTTTAGGTATGTTTAGTGTGATTCTTTTAATTCAAAATTTGACTTAAGCTAAAATAATATTATTTTATATTAATATAATATTTTATTATAGTATTATTTAAAACATTATGGATATCCTTTGTCAGGTATCGTGAGATATCATACAAAATTAATTAGACCAACCTCCTACGCATGGTAACTGCCCTTCATCGTTTTATTTATTAGGTAATATCGCATGTCCTCCGTGATGTAAGGGGAAGGGGAAGACAGATTTGCAATTCAAATAAAATAGGGATTTGAAGGGGCTACTTGTTTTCTAATGTATTCCATTTCGGTCTTGATATCTCATTTGAATTGAGAACGACTTCAAAATACACATACCCATAGTTCTATATAACTGTGACATATATTATTAGAATACATATATACTAAATTGTGTAAAATATTGTTGAAATACCCTATTATAAGGAAAATATTTAGAAAGTTTATTGCTATTTAGCACAATGAGACTGGTAGGCTACGGCTGACATAATATGATTTTATGAGTCACGAATGAAGGTATGATCCCATACCGTCGTCCCATACGTCGTCGTCATTTATCCAATATGTTAAAGAAACCGTAAATAAATAAAGTGTACATATACGTGTATATGTACGTATAACAGGTTCTACTCACACTGACAGAATCACTCACGCTTGCATTTTATAAGTATCTATTAATTTATTTTGGATTTTATGTACAGATATAGGCAAAATATACGAAACATTACACTATTGGCTTTTATTGTACTCAAAGAGGCTTTATAAATAGCGTTACAAGTATATAATAAAGTGCGTCACATAAGTTATGTCGTAAGTTATGTCGAAATATATGGTTTAATAAATACTTTATAATGGATATATTAATTAGTTAAGCCCTAGTTTTATAGCGTAAATAGATTGACAGCTAATAGATTTTATTAAATAAACTAGCAACTCAACCCTCGCTCAGCTCGGATTTGTTCCTAGTTACGTTTTAACGTTTAATATAGAATTCTCAGAGCTGAGATATTTTCGCGTAGTAAAAATTATCCTATTTGTTGAACTATAGGTTCGGCCTCTGTATCGATAATTAAAAAATATAATGAATAATAATAAACGTTAAAACGCGAGGGTAAGTCCCTAGTTTGACATATAATACTGCGGGCTTGACTTAGTGACAAAGTTAACGTGGTAGAATTTTTTTTTATCAGGAATATATTACTCTATGTAAAATGTTGACCAAAGAGATGTATTAAGTTATATATTTTTAATATATTAAAACTTTAATAAATATACTTAAAAACTGTAAAAAAACCAGAACCGCTGCAATGCTCTAAAAAGTAAAAAAATATACTAAACGTGGTTTCATTTACAATAGATACCTAATCAGATATTTTTATAGTCGGTACCAGCCGACGCAAGGCAAGGCAAATCCATTTAGATGTATGAATACATCAAAAATTGATGAATATTTTAACTATAATTAAAATTAATACCTAGAATTCCACCTTATTTAAATGTATTGTTTAGTTTTAGTGCAGACGTAATAATAGAGGCAAATGTAGAAAAGAAAAGCTATTCTCAACATCAATAATAAATAAATCAGAATGTAAAAACATTATTACTAAATACTATGTAATATTAAAATCACTATCCATATATTATTAAATTCTGATGCGACAAATTTTATATGAATTATTTATATTATACAAATAAAGTAAAAAACAAGTATTTGCTAGTAATTAATTAACAATCGATATTTCAAACGAGAAGTAAGTAACGTATTTATTGTACTTGGCGAAACTCTCAAAATGGAAAGGTTTGCTTGTACTCATTTAATTTCATATATTTTTCATATATATAACTTCTACCGATATAACGATTAAAAGTAAATATAAGTGATAAATAACTAAAAAAAATTCATTACAATATCGTACGTGAAGGTAATTAAAATAGAGCAGAGCTGATACGGAGAGCAGATAAACAAAAAAATAACTTTTTAGAGCTACTACAAAAAGTAAAAAACACACTGAATTATAAAAGACATACGATTAGATGAATTCAACTTATATTTTTATTCCAATAACAATGAAGTATTAAAGTAAATAAAATGCATTAGATTATTAAGATATTGGTACTGCACATTTGTGCAGTTGACGCTTTATATTTTACAATATGAAAATCCGTATAAAAATGCTGTATTATTAATATTTAAAAAGTTTTGATTTGGTTTATATAGTTTATTCGTTTTTTTGAGCCTTTATTGTTTATTGAAATCAAAAAAAAACAATGTTACTCTTTATAAGTTAGTGTTTTATACCATACCTATTAATACTAATATTTATAAAGAGACCGAGTTCGTTTGTTGGTTTATTCGTTTGTTTCTTTGTTTATTTGAACGCGCTAATCTCAAGAACTACTAATACGATTTGAAAAATTCTTTTTGCATTAGATAGCCCGTTTATTGAGGAAGGCTAATACTAAGGCAGTGAAGCAGTAATGATAAATGTCAACAAATCGGGCACACTTCCATTCATTATTACTAATAGCATAAAGTCAAAGAGTTGTAGTTTTGGCGCGAGCAAAGCCGCGGGTTCTGCTAGTATGATATAAACGTATTACAAGTCGCTTGCAATTTCTCTTTTTAACCATTTTATCTATCTGTTAAATTACCGTTAGAATTCATTTAATTTCTTTAATCGGTTTATAAAAACAAAAAGATAATATTAAAAAAATGTTTCGATATTTAGTACTGTACTTAGTGAGACTTTTATTCATTTACCTTTCAATAATTTTATTTATGACTAGCTTGCCCGCGGCTCCGTCCGCATTCAGATGACTACAAGCCAAATTCTTAGATTTTACATATTAATATATTTTTACATTGCAGTTTTTGTATTTTTTCTCAGAAATGAGATATTTTCCCGCGGTAAAAATTATCCTATATGTTGACCCGGATGACCAGCTATCACCATACCAAATTTCAATACCAATTTAAAATCCCTTCAGTGGTTTTTCGGTGATGCCGTAACAGACAGACAGACAAAAATTCAAAAAACTGTAGATTCGGCCTCTGTATCGACAATAATGTCTATTTCAATAAGATTTCCCAAAAAATATTTAATGTACAGATTCGGCTTAGTTACAATTTTATTATATGTATAGATCATTGCTACAGTAAAAGGTATTTCTTTCATGTTGCAATAACGATATTGTTTAAGATTATATGCCTTAAAAATATTACAGTGACTATAAATATTGTTAAATGCCCTAACAATATTACAGTGACTCGAGTAGCTCGCGTCGTGGAAGCTTGTTGTTTGAAAATAAAATACGTACTTAACGTAAGTGCAATTCTCTTGCAACATATTAACGTGATTATTTCCAAGTATAAGGTAGCTCCTCCTGTATTTACTTACTTTTCCTTTATTAGTAGTAATTACATTTCATTCATAGTTTTTATATTAACTTAATTTAATAAATATATTATATTGAATCTGTACATTAAATAATATTTTTTGGAAAATTTTATTGAAATTGAAAAGTTTTTAGAATTTTTGTCTGTCTGTCTATTATCGCATCACAGAAAAACTACTGGAGAGATTATCTGGGTAACATATAGGATACTTTTTACCATGGGAAAATATCTCATTTCTTAGAAAAAATGCAAAAACTGCAATGTAAGAGCATACTAATCTGTAAAACCTAAGAATTTGGTTTTTGATCATCTGAACGCGGGCGGAGCCGCGGGCAATGCTAGTATAATATAAATAAACGAATAATGGAAAGTATGGTACTCAACTTAAATTAAAACGGTAGTACTTCATAGAAATTATTTGGGTGTATTGAAGCGTTAAATTAATGGCAAAGTGCGTTCGACTGGGGCGTCGCATAAATGGGAATACGACATCGATCTGACGGAGGGGCAAAACTCCCTCGGTAGCTACCTATAATGGATAATGGAAGTTTCACTTAGCACATGTAGGTACTATTGCTTTGGATTAATTGTCGTTTGACGTTGAATTAAATTCTGTGGCTTATTTTCCAATTTTAGTATGTATTTACTCAAAGTTTTACATATATATTCAGTATACATCTAAGTATTTATGTTCGTAAAGTCCTTTTTAAATATTTACTGTTATTTTGTTTCTTCAATCCTTGTTACAGCGCTTTATAACTTTAAGTAGTTCGTTATACTTTTTTCTTAGAACGTCGAGATAACGAGATATTTGTCTTGGAATGCTCTAGGGATATATATTTATTTTTCTTGGTAACTTTGTGTATTCATTATTTTTAAAACATCGGAGATAATGTTACGAATAAGAATTAAGAATGTAAAAGATGTTACTTTGGTCTTTTCATGTTTAATGTAATAAAAGTATAATTTGTAGAGGCTTCGATTGAAAAAAATACGTATACGGACCAAGAATTAGTTATAGATATTATCATTAATAGTTTGAGTATTTTTGTACATAATATAATGTGTAATTTAAAATGTGTCTTATCTTTACCAATTGTACAAATTATTATTTTGTAATGAAAATATTCTACAAATATAACCTACGTATTAAAAGCGATATTATTAAAACGATTTTCATAGTGCGATTCATTACATTCGTAACATTAATAATAAAAATCGATCTATATAAGATTTGTAGCACAGCCAAAAGCATAAAAAAGTTATCTAAGTATACCATTTAAACATCGAAGTCATTCCATAAAGGTATGAAAATTCTTAACGAGACAAGGAAAGTTCCTCGTCTCGGTTCTTAAAAAGTCTGTTTTAATAGCAGCTTCATTTATACTGAGTGCTGACTTTTGCAGTCTTTAGGGTAATGTTACTGAATTTACTCACTGCTAACTTTCATCTGTGGGGAGCAATCCACTCTGCTTTTTAAAACTGACATTAAGTATCACTTTTGTTTCATGAATATATCCTAAAGCGGTAATTGCTTCCACTATCAGCCCTGATAATTTCGTTTGAATGAGAACTTTTCTGTTTTCATAAATATTTAATACTCAAACTTAAAATGTTTCAGTGCATAACTAGTTCACATTTTTATCCGTACTTACAAATTAAAACGGGGCCAACGATAAATCCGCGAAATAATCCGAAAAGATAGTTTTATTTAAAAATGTCAAGCATTCGCGTAAATCTAAGAAAGTATTATAGGGCCAACGATATTGATGTTGCTGAGAAAATGAATATTATAATCCAAAAATATATGTTAATTAAAATTACAAGCTAATTATTATTATAGTATTCCTTTATTATTTTAACATATTATTTTATGTGTAATAGAAAAAATTTCAAGAATAAGGCCAAAAACACTTATTTTATCTGCTTCTGAAATTTGAATCTGGAAATTGGTGAGAGGCGATACCACGGTCCTGAGATCTTCAAGGGACTGGGGGAAATAACGTACGTAACGTAAAAGTGCTACATGTTTAAAAGGGTGAAGGTATTCAATCGGCGAAATATCTTGCGCAGATAGAACCGGGTTACACCTCTCGATGCCATTCACCGACCACGCCGATATTTCTGATGGGCCATCTAATGGGAGGCGAGTCACCGGCCGCCAAATGTTAAATGCGAGATTGTTGCAAAGGCGGATGTCCGGTAGTCTCGTCTACATAGACCAGTTATTGAGCCCATTCAGACTCAATTCCATAACATTAAGTAGTTTTCCATATTTTGTTGGGAAATGTCTTGTGGTTGCTCAGAGATGGATGACGACTGATACGTCACATTAAACAAATTTATATCTCTAAAGAGACCTCTACGTGTTGGACATGAGTCTTTTCAAAGGAGCCCAGTAGTCCGAGCACGTGTAACGCACTTTATTTATTTAGGCATTATTCGCCCACTTGATAAGTACATATTATATGGTCATTATACGAGTATTTATTATAGAAATCATACAATTTTAACTTTATTCATTTTAATTCTACTCTATATATAAAATCAACATAATTTAATATAAAAGATCTTTATTATTTGTATTTTTATGTAATATATTGGTTATTCTTTAGTATCAGTATATTGTGTATACCTGTTTTCAATGTTATTTTAGAACATCCAAGGTTGTGTAATAGTCTGAACCATGAAAGAATTGGTTTTCGGCCAAACTTTTTTCCTTAGAGATGTCTAGGAATTATATATCAAAAAAATCTGTAATATTATCTATCATTGTAAATTAGACGACTAGTGTTTAAGCTTTAAGGTTTTTATATGTAATATTTGTGTTGGCATCAACTATGAAATACTTTTGTGAGGTACCTGCTATTGCGACATAACAGATAATATCTATCTTAGTATTTTTAAGATAAAATGCGGTATTCTCAATATAGATATGTAACGAGTGACAACATAATAATAATACTTATTTATTGTCCCTATTATATATTTCTTGTGACGAAAGTGCTCAAAAATGAAAATTGCTTCACATGGGTTCGTCCGTAGGTAAGCAGAAGTATACCTATATATATGTCACTGTTGAGGCCTTCGACAATCTTCACATATAGAGAGTCAAATCAATCTGTTGCTCCTTTTTGGTGTGAAAGGACATACTAATGAACACATATTTATATTTATAATCTCAATAATAATTAAGTATGGATTACACTATGAAAATTTTATTCTCATTTTTATTTCATGTAAGCTAGGACCCCCATATAAACCGTATTGATTATCCTTCCCGTGCTACGTCCTGTAGAGATCGAAAATTTAGTTTTCCGATTTCCCTATGGACATTACGAATGTTCGTACACAATAAAACAGTCATTACGGTTTTTTGTTGTCAATATATTCATTTAATTGCTTTCATTTTACAAGTTTTTCATTCACATATGGTACAAAAAATATCGAGTTTATTATAAAATGATTTTGATGATTTTTTTAAAATGCAGAATTATTTACTATGTTATAAGAAAGCCAAAAATAAATACTTTTATGAATAATTTAATTCAACAAATATAAATATATATTAAAACATTCCGTAACATAAAAAGGATATATCTCAAAGCATGTTTATTAGACGCGCATAAGTAACAAAGAACTTATGAACTCTCAGCTATCGTGTCGATTGTGCCTACTCTCCGTTGTAAGCGGCGTGACCTGAATTAAGATATAATTTGTATTTGCCGCAGCTTATAGGTTTATTTAATAATTAAGCTTATTTATTTCGATATATGTACAAAGTATTACATAGCTTTAAAACACTATGACTTAGTATTTTTTTACGTGACTATTAATTACATTTGCTGTATCAGTTATTTTCAATAGGGATGTATTTAGGAAAATGATTATTTATTATCACAACATAAGCTTATTACATAAGTTATTGAATACAGTCCAATATAAAATTTAATATAAAACTGAGCAAGAAAATATTTCTCACAATACACTCGAGTACATATTGTTTTAGGTGGCTCTACAAAACTGCTACGGCACGCTACGTAAGTTCTTGTAGCGCCATCTTTGGGATATTGTGTTAAGTAAAAATTTTCACAGGCGACTTAGTTTCTGTTATGCACCACCTTCTGCTTCAGCGAAATTCAAAAGCTTTCAGCTGAAACTTAACTAAGGCCGCCAGAGGGCGACGGTCTCGCTCGTCACAACGTCGATGTTACATTGCCTAGCGTACTACGTTGTTTTCAAAGAATCGCTGTAGCTTCAAATGAATGAGCTGTAATGACTGGCATGAATTTCGTATACATTCTGCCTGACAAAGGTTCCAAGTTAATGATACTTTTAATTTCCATCAAAAGTAATTTTAGAGGAAAGAGAGAGAGAGTTAAAAATGTCCAAGAACAAATCAATAACAAAATTAAAAAAAAGAAATGATATATTTAGCTTTTAGAATTGAAATCGAGTTATACTATAAATAAGTACCATTAAAAAACTTTAGAAAAACTAGGTTTTTTTATTGCATTTTGCGTAGCAAACTTTTATTAAAACATAGTTGGAAAAAATAAATAGTGATATAAATTAAGAATGAGCATTCATTAAAATCTAGCACGACAAGATCGCCATCCTGTTTGTTTTATGTAAAGAAAAAAATGGAAATTTCTATGGAAGACGAGCTTGCATGAAACCGGCGCGACGGCGACGGTGGCGGGCGGGAGGCCACCGGCCACGCGATCACTTTGCTACGAGCACCGCGCGGGCCGCACGCCGTCTGCCGCCCACCGCCTAACCATTCCTTATACTATAACCTCGTTAACTTGAGTGACGTAAAGCATTCTTATAACTAACCGTATATGGTGTATCGGGGACGTGGCATCACTCCATCGGAACTAGTGTTCGCGGACCTATAAAAGATAACCTTGCACGTTGCATTTATTATTCAGTGGCTGCGCTTAGCTATAGCCAGGATGGCGCCCTTTACAGGTATTGTTCCTAAAATAGAATATTAAAACAAATTCTAGCCGATGCTTATAGATTTCATTTGTTCTTGGACACTAGAACGGTGCTTTTTTTACTCAGTCGAGTAGTCTGTTGCGCGTCATTGCATCCATCGTTGCACAATGCACACTTATATTTGGCTTATTATAATGAAATCTCGGCAAATTAATGAGATGGATATTTTGTTTAAATTCATTAAAAATATATACATATATTTTTTTAGAAACGATATAAAGCACGTTATTTTTTTCTTTCAATTATGACATATGTACCTACATAATTTTAAGATGCTTAAAACACTAATTGTAAACGATAACTAATATTTAAGTTTATTTCCCTAAGTGCATGTTTCAAAATAGATGCTCTTTATTTTACGACATCCTACATCAGCCTCAAATTCTTTAAAGGTCACTGTCTTTTTAGTGGAATTACGAATAGTAAAAATAGCTCAAAAAGTAAAATAAAGTAAATATAAGTTTTTACAACACGTCAGCCTTATGTTTGTAAACTTAGTTATATTTTTTATACAACTTAAGTTGGATTGAAAATAGTAAATGTACAAAGACCAATTTTTCCTTCCATTTTTAATAAATAGAAAATATTTTATTATAAACATCCAGGAAAGAGAAATAAAAATACATATGTCGTGATAGATATTTTCTTTGGGCGAGTTTAAGCAGGATGACCAAGAAAGAAACCTTTCAATAGATTAATTAACTTTGAAGTATTGATTAAGTATAATTGTTAGTTTATTGATCGCTACGTAACCTTATCCAATGCTACGTATAATATAACACGGCGTAAGACTTGTAGCGTGCCTATACTTAGAAAAATCCTTTCTTGACATACACTGTTTACGCAACACGAAGAAACAATAAACGAATTTAATTACAATTTACGTTGTAATTTAGGCTTGAAAAATTTAAACTTGCATAATAACTATTTTTCATATTTAATACTACAATTTACGAACCCTTTCATTTCCTATGAAGGTTAAGCCATAGGACGAAACTACTTTGTTTTCTCCAAAATAGCTAAACTATTTTAATATGTTGACCTACTTTTTTCCTTAATTCTTTATACGGTTTTGAAAAAAAACTGGTGCTTTGTTTTAGTAGAATTTGATTTTTTAAACTCTATTTACTAATTTAAATCTTGAATGTATTTTTTCTGTGAAAAAAATGAAAAAGCAAGATAAGTTTTTAAAACAGTATGTTACAAACTGACGCCTTTAAAGATTAATTATTTCAAATAAATCTCTCTTTTTCAATATGGCAATTTTATATCTATATCTAACACTGAAATAAGCATTTAAGCAAAATAGAGGCTCATATTTTTTAGAAGCATGCAAAGCCAAACTCATCAGTTAGCACCACTAAGTTGTAACATTGTTGTACCCACAAGTAAAAAAATATGTTTAAAATAATTACTGAAAAGATAGGTTAACAATCACTATAAATGTAATTGTTCAATCCTTAGGGGTAACGCTTTTTCTTGAAGTATATATGATACCATTCTTAAGGTGTCTCATTTAGGACTTTGTAACATCCCACTGCTGGGCCCGGGCTTAGGGGGCCAGAGCCCACCACGCTAACCAAGTTGCCGGTTGGCGGGATCCGCATGTTTTTCGAAAACTAGTTAGGTTCTCTCAGACGTGCAGTTTTCTTCACGATGTCCTTGATGGTGTATTATATATTTATAAAACATCCATTAAAATAAGAATAATTTTTATTAACACGTTCGTCGAAGATCGTAACATATACAAAAAACATTCACCCAAATTAAATACAAGAGGCAGGTATTTATTGAAGTTCGTCAAAAAATACTGTAGCATTTTATATAGATTATCATTTTTAAAAGATTCTATGCAATCGAAGTACGATTGTATGTCTCAATCTTTGCTTGTATTATGTTTCAGTCATTTGCTATCATACGATTTAGCTTATAAAACTTAAGAGACAATTCCGTACACAGAACACTTTTTGATTCCGTATGGCTTGATTTACTCATCAATATCTTAATTATAAAACTTTTTTATCAATAAAAGCTGTCCTTTTATTAAAAAAAAAAGTTAACTGTTTAAGATTATGTTTTTACTATTATAGACAAATATTTTTACACCATAAATGGCGGTATGGTGTTTGTAATATTTTTCCATTACTATGTACTTATCCATTCAAGTCCTTTGTGTCTGCGAGATAATAGAATATTTTCTACATTCCTCTAGCAGCAAGGCAATGTGTGCTAGGTTACCAAGGCCACGCTTTGCCTACACCAGACTAGAAGAATCCTTACATGATATGAATCAAAACGTACTCAGAGATCGAGTACAGGATATTTGAAGCTGTAGCACTCAGGCTACGCCATCACTTTAGTTTTATTATTACTCTTAGTTTACTATAACTTAATAGAGCTTTCACAAAAAAATATAATTTTCAGCAATACAGAAATTATGTATATATATTTGTTGCAGCCGTGCCATATGTTGTAGTTTCGGCATTCATTACCAATGTGGAGCACGCCACTTTCTATGAATAAGGCATACTGATTCTGTGTTTCATACTAAAAGTAGGCACTTTTTATTCAAAAAAGTTTATAAAACTAGGTAATTTTAATCAAAATTAATATACCGTCATGATTTAAGTAATTTGAATAGCCCACTGAAACATTTTGAACACTGGAAGCGAACAATTGAATTTTATTATTTTACTTAAAGCCTCATTAGTTGGAGTGCGTCTTCATACCATTTCTAAAATACTTTGATTGAGTCCGTTGCGTGTAAAACGCTGGCAATGGCCGTAAGGGCTATTTACGACCCGGTCGGTCCATTTATTCTAGGTTCTCTTTATTGTGAGAATGTATTTTACTTAAGCGGTGCATTTTCTAACACCCACTGGGAATATTGACTGATTTATTTTCTCTGGGCTATTTGCACTAGCTCCTAACCTAGCGCTCATAGTTATTAAATTTATTTTGATTATATAGGAACGGGGAAAATGAGATCCCATAAAGGGTAATGGTACTTCCATTATATATAAATGAAAACATGTGTATTTTTATGGCTGCGCAGGTAGGCCATGAGGGTTCAAATCTTCATGGGTTGAAATTGTACTCATAGCGCTGTTTCCAAAGTTTTACTAAATTTTTAAAGTTATTAGTATTATGTTATTATTCTTACAATGTTATTTTATTTGATAATTTAACTACCAATATAATAAAATACCTATATGAATACAATTTTTAAGAATTAAGTAATGCTAAAATATCAGAATAATCAAAAAATAATACTTATATGAAAAATTATATGTATGTATAAATCATGTTAAATATCTGATGATGGTATTTTCAGCATTAGTTATATTTGTCAAGATAATTAGAATATATACGATATGCGTTAACAAGAATTCATTCATTCATTGCTAAAGTAAAGTAAAGCTACAGGTAAAAAATTAAAGAAAAGAAAGTAGAAAAGAAATACGTACTTGGATCTAGGCAAAAAAAAACGCTTTAAATTTCGATTTATTGATGATTTTCTTCTCATTTTTTTGGGGTCCAACCTTAATAAATTTAAGTTAGCTCAAAACTTAATATAACGTTGAGAAATCATTACAAAAGCTCTTTTCGAATATCTATGTAACGTTAAAAATCATTTAAATACATACATTTTAAATTACATTTTATGAATAAAATCTTCTAGGCACTTATTTTTTTTTGCATATCATATATCACTTTACATAGCAAGAATGTAAATTATTAAGAATTGCCTATAAGAATTAATATAATTGAGGATATTTAGGCCATATTTATATGAGAAAAATAAAACTATATTTTGTACTAGCATTGCCCGCGGCTCCGCCCGCGTTCAGATGACCAAAAAACCAATTCTTAGGTTTTACATATTAGTATACTCTTACTAGCAGTTTTTGTATTTTTTCTCAGAAAGGAGACATTTTCCCGCAGTAAAAAGTATCCTATATGTTGACCTGGATAACCAGTTATCATCATACCAAGTTTCATCAAAATCCCTCCAGTGGTTTCTCCGTGATGCGGTAACAGACAGACAGACAGACAGACAGACAAAAATTCTAAAAACTATAGATTCGGCCTCAGTATCGAAAATAATGTCTATATAAATAAGATTTTCCAAAAAATATTTAATGTACAGATTCCGCTTAGTTACAATTTTATTATATGCATAGATTACCTAATTTGTCCTTACAATTATAGTGATGGCTCAATAATCTAATGTATTTAGTAGTTTTTATCAAAGTCTCCAATCTTCTTTGGTCATTTAACGCTAGTATTAATTTGGTCTGTGTTTGTATAATTTGTAGATATGACATGGTGTCCACAATATAGCTTTATTGTGGGTAACAATAAAATATTGAGGGTTATGACAATATTCTAGAAAAATAATATAAGAGAATGGTATATAAACATAATAATAATAAATATGTAGGGACATTAACACACAGCACCATCTAGTTCCATGGTAAGCTACGAGGCTTGTGTTATGGATACCAGATAGTTGATACACTACACATATATGTATAACTTTTTTTTTAATACGTACATATTATTAATATAACACCCATGACTGGAGTGCAAACATTCGTGCTCATCACATAAATGGATGCCTCCCAGCGGGAATCGAACCCGCGACCGCTGGCACAGCAAGTAGGGTCACTACAAGATGAGCCAAACGTGTCGTCGTATATTAAAAAATATATTACAAAAGCAATATGGAAATGTAAGCAAGGAAACGTATTTCCCTTTTCCTATTTCTCATCTTATCTTTTTCTTAAACAACTACAGAGTTTAAAATTAAAGATATTTTGAACGTTCTCAATGAACTTTTCTAAGAATAACTTAGAATTCATTTCAATTTTAAAATACATAACGATAACTAAATTACGTAACATAATGTTATTAAATGTAAACCCCTTTTAACTAAGATATTTATTTTTTTAATTTAATAAAATATA